CAAACCCCCCCCCCCCCCCCTACCCCAAAATCCTAATTTTTTAAAAAATGAGGAATTTCGCACAGACAAAGAAGAAGCTGGAGATTTCTAAAATCGCGTAATTGCACGCCCTCGCATTTGGCAGCTTTGAGGGCCATTTTCTTTGTTTCCTCGACTATCTATCTGGTTTAAATTCGTCGGTGTTGCCATGACGATGCAGTAACTTTTGAAAACACGCAAAATGACCAGAATAACTGGGAAATTCAAAGATAGATAAACCTCGATAATCGTTTACTGGAACCTTACACCTCTCTCTTGCTCAAATGATATGCTTTTCTCTTAAACAGATAACTAGTGACAGCACTTATATTAAGAAAATTTTAGCTCATCGCGATGAGATGACTTCGATGAGCTCGGAAAACTAAAATCAAAACCACATATAATACTCCCATACGCCTGTATCAAGCCTTGAAGAAACTCCAAAATGAAGCTTGATACCAGTAATATGCGTTACATGACGCCTGATGACTTCCGTGTCCTTCAAGCGGTTGAACAGGGCACCAGAAATCATGAAGTGGTTCCCACCACATTGATCCACCAGCTCTCAGGAATGAGATCTTCCTCGGGAACAAACAGGTCGATCGGGGATCTTGCGAAGCTTAAACTAGTGTCAAGAATGAGAAACATAAAATACGATGGATTTAGGCTCACATACAACGGATTCGACTATCTAGGGCTTAAATCCATGTTGAACAGAGACACCATTTATTCCGTGGGAAACGTTATTGGTGTTGGTAAAGAATCAGACGTTTACAGAGTTAGCGGGAAAGATGGCACTGCCAAAGTTTTGAAGATTCATCGGTTGGGACGTACGTCGTTCACCACTGTGAAAAATAACCGTGACTACCTCAAACACAATAAGTCAGGTAGTTGGATGTATCTGTCTCTTTTGGCTGCTACCAAGGAGCATCAATTTATGTCACTTCTTTATTCGAAGGGGTTTACCGTGCCAGAGCCTTTTGACAATTCCCGCCACATGGTTCTAATGGAACTTATCGACGGCTACCCTATGAGAAGTATGCGGAAGCATAAAAACCTACCCAAACTTTACAGTGACCTGATGCTTTTCATCGTCAACCTTGCGAATCACGGACTCATTCACTGCGATTTCAACGAGTTCAATATTATGATCAAAGATTCTGTCCAAGACGCACAGGACTGTGGTTTTGTCGTGATCGATTTTCCCCAGTGTATATCGATTCAGCATCAAGATGCAGAATACTACTTCAAAAGAGACGTCGATTGCATACGTAGGTTTTTCAAGAAAAAACTGAAATACGAACCTGTCCTTGACGAATCGATGGTTGATTTAGACGGCTATGGAGATGGTTTCAAGTACGCGTATCCAGACTTTAATAGGGACGTAAAACGAATTGACAACCTCGACGAGTTGGTCATGGCTTCGGGTTTTAGCAAAAAGCATCCAAGTGACAAGAGATGGGAGGAAGCCGCGGAGAAGATGAGAGAAGAGCTCAATGAACAAAACGATGGTGAAGACTCCGATACCAACAGCCAAGGGGCGAATGGCGAATTATCAGATTACTCTGACGAATCAGACTACTCTGATTACGATTCCACTGACGAAGGATCTTCAGATCAAGACGACCTCGAAGAAGAAAACGAGCGAATTGTCGAGGCTCTTTCTAGTGGGGTATCGAACTTGAAAATGGACAAGTTAGGAAACTACGTTCTTGAAGAATAAGCTTTCAGAAGTTGATTGAAATGCTATCTGTTACTATACAGGCCTTTTTCTCCGGGAAAAATTGGAATGATTAATCGTACTCGACCCCGGAATCGTCTTCCTCCTCAACTTCCCTTGACTCCATCGGGAAGGACATTTCTTGCGTTAAGTCGTCAAATTCGTTAGCATTGAAAGGGTCGTGCAATTTTTCTGGCAGTTCATATTGCTGGTGGTCTACACCGTTTGAGAAATGCTGACTCAAGTTATCAAAAGCATTCCCCACATCATTTTCCACCCCTTCCTCTTCTTCTTCTTCTTCTTCTTCTTCATTTTCTTGCTCTTCTGCATCCTCTTTCTCTTCATGGGCGCCTTCATCTTCCAAATCTTCCTCCTCTTCCTGAGAAGATCCTACGTCGCTGCCGTCGGATAAGTTGCTCTCTATTTCGAAGTCGTTATCTGCCTCCTCGTCGTCTGACTCCAATGGTATGTCGTTAATCTTCCCTCCATTTTCGAGTTGTTGCGCAGCTTCTGCTAGAAGAGAGTGTTCTTCGGTGTGTTGTTCCTTGTTGGTCCTTTTGGCTTTGTTTTCCTCGCTCATGGAATTGTCGACCACTTGCTTCCGTTTGACGTAGTCGTCGATCAGGGCATACTCATTCTGGTCAATCATCGAAAACTCAAATCTGTCACCGCTCTTCGTAATCAAAGTGACATTGAAGGTCAATCGTGTAATCGAAGAATAAGTAATAGATTCAATCTCCTGAGAAGAGAATAGTAGTATAGGTTTCTTGAAACCAAATAAAACATTATCAGGAAGAAAATAAAGTGTTCCTTCTTTTGTACCTCTATGTGCTTCGACATGAAATGGTTTGGGGCCTGTGTTGGATGCAGAGAAGGGATCTGCGATGCGGAATCCCACCAGTATGGCTTGCTTCCGGATGTAGTCAATGCAGGGTGACATATCATTCGCTGGGGTGTTGATAAGTCCCGAATTTTTCAACTGTGCTAAAGTTGCATCCTTATTCAACGTCACTAGAAGGAACTCAGTAGCATCAGACGTTGCATCCGGGCGGTAACTTATGAACAAATACACCACATTGTTCTTTTCCGGAACTGGTAAAAATGTGGCAAACTTGACACTCTTGTTGAGCTCTGAAATCGTCAATTGTGGGACCATATCTTTGGATAAGGACAATGTGGGCTTACCTGTAACGGGTGACAGAGAAATGACGAGGTTAAGCTTTTTGCGGAACGGTGTAAGTACAGAAACGTCTTTCAGTTGGAAAATTATCGAATTTTCCGCTACCTCTGGAGCTGAAGCATCAGTTTTTGGCTTTTTCCTGGTTTCTTGTTCCACGCTCATGAAGTTGTACAGTTCTTCGAAAGCCTCGAGTGCTGAAGGCTCAAAAGAGCTTATGGTCTCGATTTTTTGGCGCAGATCCCGCGGAATGCTATCCAAAAATGACATCGACATTGGAAATTATGCTATTGGAGCCTGTGAAACCTGGTCTCGGGGTCTTTTCATAGGCTTTGGTGAAGCCGTTGGTCTATTATGTATGGTAAAGACCAGAAGAGTTGGTGATAGCACTATTTACGAAGATATCAAGCTAGTGTCAGCGAAAACACGGTTCAGGCGTTTTCACCCACCAGTATCAGCTCTCTCAATATGAACCTTGCAATCAAGCCTTTGTCGGTGTTTTGGATTGAATTTTGAGCTCGACAGTCGAGATCTCATTTTCTTTTACGTTCACGATTTTTAAGACGACGAATGGTAATAACAGTCATTTCTTATTTACAGCTGAGAGTCACCAAACATTAAATAGTCTTGGTCGTAAATCATATTTCAGTAAACTCTTTAACTTGATCTTTAAGTTCCATTACAATACGTAACTTACTAGATACACTCTGAAAACGTTCAAAATTCGTCCCATTCGTCTTCTTCAGACTTCTTGGGTTTCGTTTCAGCGGTAGTCGTAGGGCTAGCATTTCCGACATCATCAAAGAGTTTAGAGAATTGGCTCTCAGTGGCAGGCTCCTGACCAAAGTTTTGTTGGTACTGTCCTTGCAGATTTTTGGTGAAGTTCGAAAAAGCCTGGTACCCGTAGTTAGAGGTTTCGTGGAATTTTTGACCAAATTGAGCTGCTGCTCTACGAGTCTCCTCAGAAAGGTCCTTCGCCTGCATTTGTTGCACCCCTGGCTTGATCATGCTGTCGTTCACGTCTTCGACGTGTTTGCTGACAGCACTGGAGAACATACTCCATCCTCTTGAAAAAGTGCCCAGTGGGTCCTTTTGCAAGTTGTCAAGGGACAAGGTGGCCATTTTGCCGTTCAAATTCTCATTTTTCTGCGTATTCGCCGGCGTGTTTCCAAATCCTTGGTATTTTCCTCCCTGTGAAGGTGGTAAAGAATTCGACTTGAGAGAGTTTTTCTTACCTAGTTCCGCAAAATAGGTCTCATTTTTCTCACGTTGCGATTCAGGGACCTGAGGAGTGCTTCTACGCGATTCCAAAGGAGCCGAGCCTCCGGAACCGGTTGGCGCGGGCGATGAGCTTCTGGAATCTTGCGGAGAGAGTACAGGCTGCTCATTCGACGTACCCAAGCTCTTAGGATCAAAATCTGGGTGCTCAGGTTCCGTCCATTCGGTGCCTTCTATTTCAGCGGTAAGCTTATTTTTATAATCAGTTGCAATTGGATTGTTGTATTTGATCTTGTGAGGCAACTTCGAACTCACGCCGTGCGATTCCAGATAAGCACTGAAAGGTTCATTTCCACCCTTTTCCATGCGTTCCAGCTCTTCTGGCTTAAACTGGTCCATTGTGATCGATCTCACAAACGAGATATGTACCCCAAGGCCTCTGTGGATTCCCGCACACTCCAAACATATAAATATCCCAAATTTCGGAGATGCCCACTGCGGATTTGGTGCTCCACAATCCACACATTTCTTGTTTCCACCCAGCTTCTGCAACTGCAGGAGCCGTCTTCGATTATCTGGATTGACCTGCCATTGTTCAGACATCTTTAACTTCCTCGAAAGCCCAACACTTCAGCTGGGAAGGACTGTTTTGAACATGACGAGTGGCATTGAGTCGAAGATCTAGAATCAAATGTATACAATGATGATCTTGAAATTAAAGAGCACTATATACGTGAAAGCATTTGGGTGAGTTACAAATTGTGGAGCGAGAACATGTTATGACCAGGATATAGGTTTGTCCGCTTGACTACTAGACGTGATATTCCAAACTTTCATCAAACCGTCGGCTAAGATGTAACCGAATTCTGAGGGTTTGAATGAGTCCCCTTTTGTTTTCTGTTTTTATTTTTAAATTCCATTGACAGACTGTGTCATCGAAGGTTACGAAGGATCTCGGAGATTTGTTACTCACCAAAGTGGGTCAATTACTTGAACCTCGCTAAGGAAATTTATCTTAGAAGGTTTGCATTGGGTTTGAGCTTTGGCTGAGTTTAATGAGACGAAACAGATAGAAACGTCGCGAATAAGTTCCTATCATATCACTTGGTACTAAACTGTCATGCCGAAGCTGTGAAAAGGTAGACATCAACTGTCAAGGAAAGATATACAGTACCAGTCAATAGGAGGGGGCGCGCAGTGCGCTAATACAAAACCATTCACAGTAAATGTCTAATGCCCCTCAATCTTCGGTAGTTACTATTCCAGCACTCTTTCTCGAAAAAAATGAAAAAAAGTCTAGGATAACGGTATCTTTTGGGTCAGTAAGTACATCAATCAGTAAAAAGCTCTGGATTTCAAGAGATTGGTGAGACTGTTGACTCAAACCACCGAATGATTCGTTTGAGATTCGCATTGAACTTGTAAATCCAGGTCATGTGACTGATGTCAGCGCAAAAGCGCCAGCGCTAGGTCTTCGACCTCGTAGGATGTCCAAAGTGGGACTTACTCTAAAGCACTAGGCGAGCTCCATCGCTTTCCTCACCCTGGAGGTTTAACTCAGTATGGCTGTCCGCTGAACAGTAATCAATTCCTTTACTTTTATGATGAACAACCAGCAACCTGCATTTGCATTAGCCAGCTCTCCAAAGTAGAGATAAACCAACCAGCTCCCAAAAATGAGCCGTTTAATCGATAGAACAAGGCATCTGCTATACACATAACCACCGAAGTGATGACGGACCTGACAGAGAAGCTCTGCATTCCCCGAGAGCCTAACCAAAGCACCGTTTAGATATTCAAAACGGTCTGAAATATCGGACAATTACCATAGCGCTTGGTCTAACGTTGGTGTGAGTGATTTTCTACACAGCTTTATTGTTCAGCTTCGTTTAAACATTAACAGTCAAGTACACCAAATTCTTTTCTGTAAAGCATCACAAAAGAGAGTAAGTTGTTCTCCAGTATTCGATTCACTCCCAACCACGACAGAACTCCATTCGTGGCTTAAATCTGACAACGATTCTTTGTTAGTAAAATGGTTGACGTCGCAACATGGAAAGACAACAAGAGAAATCCGACATCAGAAAAATACACACACAGCTCCCCCCATGAACAAGAGTCCCCCCAGCTCCAACTCCAGTCTTATTCACACATCCATATACCATCCCTCGTCCCAGTTCCAGGAACTGGGACGCAGGTTGTGGTGATCACGCTACACGCATGACACATTATCCCCACACTAATATAATTGTAAATGTCCATATAAGTAGTAGAGCACCACCATTGCGAACATTCATTGCTCAAGCAAGTCACCACTCCCTCAGTTAAACTCCTATCCACTTGCCATTGGGTGTTTTTATCCATCACTAAAACCACATCTTTTATAATTCCGTAAATACTCGTCAAATAGTTTCCCTTGTAATGCCCAACACATTGGATAACTCATACATAGCCAATGGACCATGGAAACCGGCCATCTTCGAGGGCAAAGTTGCGTTTGTAACGGGTGGAGCCGGCACAATTTGTCGCGTTCAGACTGAAGCACTTATCTTACTCGGTTGCAAAGCAGTTATTGTCGGTCGCAACAAGGAAAAAACACAGTTGGCTGCCAAAGAGATGTCGATACTGTCTCAAGTTCCTGACTCGGTTTTACCAATTTACGGAGTTGACGTTCGTGAATTTGATCAACTGGAACGCGCAGTTGCTCTAACTGTGGAGAAATTTGGAAGAATCGATTTTGTTATTGCAGGCGCCGCTGGAAATTTCATAGCACCCTTCGAACAATTGTCTGCTAACGCGTTCAAGTCCGTGGTCTCGATTGACTTATTGGGAAGCTTCAACACAGCCAAAGCTTGTCTCCCGTACCTCAAACTCAGCAAGGGCTCGATTCTATTCGTTTCTGCCACTTTTCACTACTATGGCGTGCCATTTCAAAGTCATGTTGGTGCTGCCAAAGCGGGAATTGACGCTCTTTCTAACGCACTTGCCGTCGAGCTCGGAATTTCAGGAATACGCAGCAACTGTATAGCGCCGGGTGCAATCGAAGGTACGGAAGGTATTTCAAGGCTTTCTGGAGCAGTCTCGAAGGACCAAATGTGCTCCAAGATTCCGTTGCAACGTTTGGGTACCACAAAAGACATAGCAGACACGACTGTTTTCCTGTTTTCAGATGCAGCCAGATATGTTACTGGCACTGTGCACATCGTTGACGGTGGAATGTGGCACCTGGGCACTCATTTCGGGCGGGAGATGTACCCTCAAAATCTATTAGTAGAGGATAATGCTAAATTATGATTACACATGAGAACACTTTCAAGTTCCATTGCCCAGAAAATCTTTCCCAATAGATTTTGGTGCAGGAGCAGCCGCCAACTTCTCCATTGCCTTTTTGAAGGTCGAGGTTACCTCTTCTTCTTTGACTTCCGTCGAGGAGCCCAATGACTCCGAAACCTCAGAAAAGGTTCTTTTGACGACGTCCTTGGTCGTCTTCTTGTTTCTACTAATCTCCCAATTGTGCGGCTCTTCTTCTGTATCGTTTATTCTAATCATTTCCTGAGCAAAAGGAACACAACTAACAGCCATGAGATCTTCCCTGAAGTTTTCCACGAGGTGTTTGTTGAGAAGAATGAAATTCATGCTTTCGCCTGAACAAAGTTCTTTAGCTCGTAATGACTGTGATGCGATTGTTTTAAAAAAATCAAGCAGACATGAGTTAGCCATGTTGTCATTATGAAGGTTTCTTCGCAGCAAATCGAAAATGGGCTGGTATAAGTTGTTGGAAATCATATGCTTGTGATAGATATCGTCATTGAGACTGACAATGCCTTTCAAGCACCTAACAGCGGTAAGTTGAAGCTGTAGTATATGGGGTGACGCGATAAGCTTGCTGATATTTGCAAGGATGTTATGTTCCAGAATAAATTCTCGAGACACCAGGCGGCTATGCTCAGCAGCAACGAAGCTGACCAATTTTACCAAATATATGAGAAGAATATCCTCATCTGAATTATTTTGCCCGCTTTTCATCAGCGGTCCAAAGAGAATGGGTGCAACTTGAGTATAAAAATTGTTGAAGTACTCTTTCATTTGAAGACTCAGATTATTCATGACAGGGTTCTCCCCGCTTCCATTACTCGGTTGATCATCCGAACCCATTATTATGTCCATATTCCCAGGTTCGTTGTAGTCTGAGTCAATACCCATGCAGCCTTCCGGATGAAGGAGAGTATTAAGAGCTTGTACCACCTGTTCTTTCAATCCCATATTCTTATCCGCTATCAAGATCTGCGACAAGATAGATAATAGAGAAATATCCGAAGAAGCGCTGGATTGCGCCAGGGTCAATGTCCCGTCTGATTGCCGCTGGCCTTGATCCATTAGCCCCGTCTGATGGAGGTGCTCATTTTGTACCGTATTGATCAACAAAATGTCATGCTCAATAATACTGATGACCATATCCGTGGCCAGAATCCTAATCCCACTATCTGTTTCCATACTAAAGGCGAAATCGAAAATTTTGAAAAGGCCCGCCCTTACCAAAGCTTTAAAAAATCTTGATTTTTCCGCGTGTTCTAGATTCTTAGTTATCTGAACACATTGGTGTAACATGCGGACACCATCCCTTTTCTTTTCCATCTCTGTGTCGATCTCGAACAGCGACATTACCCTTTGAAGAAATGGTTCCGTTTGTATAAAATCAATTATGCAGTTTTGTGAATCCAAGATCACATCTGAGATCATGCTGAAAGTATGATCATCCAAAAACCGTACTAATACCACATCCTTGAGAAATTGCAATCGATAGGTTTTTTTCATGATCGTCTTGATCTCCTCACTTTTTAACGGTACCACTTCTTTGAAGTGCGGACCTGCTTGCAGCAAATAGTCACGATGATTTGCTTTGCTTAACGGGAATTCGGTGTCATATTCGAGAATGCCGACGATGCCCACGATATGCTCGTCATCTACCATCTGTTCCAGAACGTCTCTATGATTATAAAGCGTCAAGGTCTTGACGATATTGCTTAGCAAGAGGAGCTCACGAAGCCGGTGTTTAGATTCCGCATTCTCAAAAATGTGTATCAGAGTGAGTAGATAGGCGCTTTTGAGCACAAAATCTATGGTTCCCGTTCTTAGGTACTCGAATGCCATGTTTTCGTTAAAGATTTTGAGCGCGTCCATCAGCGATTTTTCGTCTTGTTCCATTTCATTACTCGGGAGGTTCACTGGACCGGTTATGATTTCATGTACCGAACCCATACCATCGTCATTGGAACGGACTGCTATTAGCGATATATTAGTTTCTGTAGTTTGTTGAATCTGAATAATGAAGTCACAAAGCGCGTCACATCCTGTGCTTTCTTCAAAACTCAGTGCAATATCTTGGCCTGAAAGGTCTTTCCACACAATGAGAGTCTCTTCTTGTCTTTGATACTCGATGTTTCCCTCCAGTTTGGACCACAGTAGCGTCTTGTCTGGGGACCCTTCGTCGTTGACCACCAAATAAGCGGCTAAACTCCCAGGCTCCTCGTCTCTTACACCAACAACGGGCGTCAGCACATCTATTTCGCCTACTTTCCCCACACAAAACCCTGTTCCAGTATCTTTCCATTCGTTATCTTCCAAAATGTACACTTTTACTCGCTTGGAGTCTGTTTCTCGCACTCCATCCTGTGTCATTTTCACCATATCCTAAGTGGCTACTAAATGCTACAAAACTTCTCTGTAGCGTACCTCGACTGCTACTTTGATCTCTGCGAACTACTTAAGGTATCAGATAAGTTCTTAGAATCTCGAGTATTTGACGCTTTTTCGACTTAGTTTCGAAATTATGTTTAGGCGATGGGCTACTTAACGCCAAACACTCAAATTTTCAAAAAGCCCGGTGTAAGAAAAGGATAGGATGATGTCGCCAAAAAACAGATAAACAAAAAACTGTGAACAGAGGGGGAGACACTTCGGTAATTCCTTCCCCGACATGTGACGAGCATGCCGTTAAAAGAACACGACCATTTAAAGCGAGTGGTTCGGCGTGTAAAACGTTCAAAGGTGTCATTACTGGCACGAAATCAAGGTGTCTAATAGTTTTGACTCTGTATGCGCTTACACCATGTCACAGACAAACTGATAGCTTGCGGTTCAAGACAGCGAAGAATTTGTGCGGGGTCTGAAATCATCAAAAAGTTTTTGGAACGGTACTTTTCTGCGTTCTCAATACGGCGTTTCCGGAAAACAGTAGAGCGGACTGAATGGGAAGTAACTTGATACATATTGCAAAAGTACACTTTCTGTGTCGCATTTGAAGTTCCAATACTTCTATGTAAACTCATCACCCGGCCATCGTAGTAGCTTCGCTACTTAGCCGCCGTTCATCTAACCTTGAAAGAAAGTTGTAAATGGTGAAAAGACTTGCAATGAGCGCCCAATTTAATCGATGGACACAATTGAAGGACAAATGAAAGCATCTGGGGCTTTCTCAAACCATGTGCTGTCATTTATCTCAACCTTTTTAATACTGGTGTACTTAAAAAGGGTTTTTGTAGATATAAGGTCTTTTTTCACCAAATTGTCATCCTATTTATACTTTAATTAGCCGCCAAACATTTCACGAAAACGTAAATATTGAGAATCCCCTTCTAGTACTTACAGAAATGGCAACATGAGCTTTTGGCAAGTGTGGACGAAGCTGTAATGTCGAAGTGAAACAATCTACATTTCTAATCGTAGGATTCTTGGGCGGTTAGCCTGTTATTCCAAAACGGTGTCCCGCAGAAGGCATGTATTAAGTCATTAAACATGTATGTATCGTAATTTCATCATTTCTTTGTCCTTGGTTAGTTTGGTGACAACTTCACCACTTGATCGGCGTTTTCGTAAGGGAAGGGCTCGAATTTGTATTTGTGAGCGAACTCAGCGGGCACAAAGCGTCCTCCAACGTAGTGTTGTGTCTCTAAACTGTCGATCTTGGAAGCGCACGGTTTGGGCACGGTGAGTGAAACCAAAACTTTAGGAATGATGGAGTTAGGCTCCACAGGTCCTTCGTCAACGTCCCACCCCGTTGGAACATCAACTGACACAATGGGCAACCGATCCTGGACCTTATGAAGTTGTTGCAAGATAGACCCAAATGGCTCCCGCACAGGAGGCTTAAAGGAGAATCCAAAAAGGGCGTCAACAACACACACGGTGCTATCCGAATCCAAGAACTGAGTCCAGTTTTCGTCCACATTCAGGACCGGTATGTTGAAGAACTTCAGCTGATTCACCAATCTGGAGAAAAAGGGCGTCTTGCTATTGGGTTTTGGATAGTAAACCACCGGATGGAATCCAAAAAGCTTTAGGTGACGTGCACATACAAGACCATCGCCACCGTTGTTTCCCGGGCCAGCTAGGACAAGAACCTGGGTTTTCGTGCTTGCAGCTAGGGGATATTCTTTCAATACTGCTTGTGCGACGCTGAACCCTGCTAGTTCCATAAGTTGCTCCAAAGTGAAGCCTATTTCGGGCCCCATAAGGTCCCTATCAAGCTGAGCTGCCAGCTTTGAAGTAACAGTTTTAAAAGGCATCGTTGATGGGCTTTGAAGTAGCTGTCTTCTGTTGGTGATGCATTGCGGAAAGCTGCAAAGAGGTAACAACAGATCTTTGACATTTTAATATACATAATGTGATACACGACGAATCCTTCGACTGGGGCAGTCATATGATTCATGCTAATGGAATAATACACTATAATACACTTGTACTCTTCGAAATGACTGGTGTGTCAAGGTCGGTGGCGGGAATCCTTATATAGCATAGTACGCACACATGCCAAATCTTCGAGTAACATTTTTTGGAGCCAACGTGTTTCTTGTCTTTGAGAGTCGAGGTCTGCTTCAAGCTGCTTGATTCTGAGATCTTTTTCATTCAACAGCCGTTCGTAAACGTCAGAAGCACCATTTCCCTTGTCGATTTGAATCGCAAGCGGCTGTTGTGGTGTGTCCTCTTCGATCGTAGGCAGATCTGACTTAGTTTTCTTCGTAGCCAGTTGTAAAAGTTCGTCCACAGCATCTTCATCGGGGGTTCCCACACCAACATACTTTCGCTTACCCTGCGGATTGCCAGTAAGGGCTTCCAGCCCCATGTTTAGAGCCAAATTCATGTTGTTCAAGCTGGGGTTGACGGCAGCGTTGAAATTGGAGTTCATTTGCGAATTCATGACAGCGTTCATGTTTGGATTGATAGAATTGTCAGTGTTAGGATTAGTGCTGATGTTCCTGCGGGGATCTGGGCTCGGATTTATGTGGGAAGTCTCCATGCTGGTAGGGTTCATGCTGGAATTCATGCTGGAATTCAAATTAGGGTTAATACTGGGGTTCATGCTGTTGACCATAATGTTGGAGCTCACACCGTTATTGTTGTTGCCCACAGTAGCAGCATTGATGCCGTTGGAGTTTGCCAGATTTTCTCTCCCGCTGGATGTGTTTCTGTGATTTGACCGGCCTCCATTGCCGTTGGTGGGCATCACTGAGGGACTAGGGGGAGACGTGGAGTAAAAATTATGCCGGCCGTCTTGTTGCAGTTTTTGAAGTCTTTTCTGTAATTGCTGCGGCAGCGTATTGTCAATGACTTCCGAGGGCGAGTTTTTCGTCGACGTAGCCATGCTATTGACACGCCGCCTGTTTTGATTCAGCATCTGGCCTGTTTTCCAGTCAAATACCGTGCTAATCGACACCGATACCAGCTGCCAAAGCTGGTCATTTAGGAGCTCTGCGTCGTCTTTGATCTGCCACATCCCGTTGTCGAGCTTACGGAAATACTTGCCGTAGGGACTGACCTCGTAGCTTAGCTCTAGTTCCTTCATGATTTGTTGAAACCGCTGGAACAGCTCGATTGCTGATTTAGGCGATGTCGAATTGTCGTCCAGCAAACTTGTGGAGATTGTAGCGTTGTAGAGTTGTGAAAGCCGCTGAAAAAGCGTTAGATCGTTATGTGGTGAAGTCCCGTTGACCGGGCCATTGGATTTCGGCGAACTTGATGCCGTATTCAGAACACTCACGTCTTCTCCATTGATCACAGCGTTGTTTGACAAAACCCGGTGAGCCTTGATAATGAAAACGTCCAGTTTACTTTGATGATGCATGATACCAGGCGTTGTGAAAGACACACTGGAATCTCGACGTGCGTAGCTCATCTTATCCACGACACACCAACTTACCTATAGCCAACGAAAAGGTGGTTTGCCACACACACTAATGCAAGGGCTATAACGAGTTGAAAATAAGAGTGTCTTGGGTCCTTGATTCCTAGTTGTCCACCGTTGTCTTGCGAGTCCGCCGGGTATCGAATAAATGAATGTAAATCAGAGCATGAGTTCAATAATCACGTTGTAGTAGTGAACAACCGAGAGCGTCAGCGATCAGTTGTGAGTCGTGAAGATGGAATTGAGAATAGTTGATCAAATGAGAGTGTCGGTGATTGGTTGGGAATAGTTTTAAATATTACAAGCATAGTTGAACAATTAGGATCGTTAACGAGCAATTGAAATCTAAGGTTGAATACAAATGAGTTTTATAAATGGGCGTCAGTGACCGGCAGAGAAGATGTAAAGTGTCCTGTTGAACAAAGAAGACAAGACTGCAACCAATCGAGGGGTTTTGGGATTCTCAACCAGTATGTTTGCTAAACTCTGAGAGATATCTTGCCTGTTGGTTGTGAATGTAGTAGAATGTATCAATTAATACCGACAATGTCAATAATCTGTCGCGAGCCGAAGACTTCATCGCGATGAGGATCAGCTTGAGGTATATAAGTCTCTGTAATTGTATCTGAGCCACGGAAGATCGATAACGTCTAGCTCGAAATTATTAGAACGTCAGCAATGAGTTGTGAACAAATCAACGACACAGAAGAGCTATGGGGGACAAAGATGCAACCAGACTATAAGATTATGAGTACAGATCTCTGAAGAATGTGTTGTGAGCAACTAGGAACAGAACAAAGCTCGAAATTTGAGAGGGTTCACACCGATTAGAGCGCTTGCATGATGAGATCAAGCCTCGAGGCTCATGGAAAAGCCAGAGTACAAAGCACCACAAACAATAATTGCATGATCATCAACAACTCTTATACTTTTGAAGCTTGTTTCAATCTTGAGCTGGGATTAGTTCTCTGTAAAATTCTGGCAATTATCTTCGCAAATCCTCAGCTTAACCTGCGATTAACTGCTGCCACTCAAACAACCGTCTGATATAAATGCAGGTCCGTTGGGAGTAACCCTCCATCTCGAACGGCCAACATTGATGACCGTTTACCGTTTTCTAACGATCGGACTTGAAAACCCAAATAAGTTGAATGTCTTAAAGATTTGAATCTAGCCACATGTATACTGTCATGATCAGATACCATCCCACCAAGGCCGACGCTTACCGTCTTTCGTCCTGGAGCGTTACTAGTACGGTACGGTGATCCCCACGTGACCGACGTCAGTGCCAGTTTGAATGTGAGACATGATCCAATGCTTTACAGACTCTCAGCAAAGTTCATAAGGGAACCCAATGACCTGTCACGACAGAAAACGCTCATCAAAAACATTATGCCTGCTTAACGACACCGCACGCACGGACGAGGGTGAAAGTTCAAATCCGCATTAACACGCTGCGACAGCAAAAGACAAAGTGTTCGTCAAAATCATGTTTATTCTACTTGAAAAACACTTCGCCAGTATATCCGACCCATGAGCATCTAATATCACCAACAAATTCAAACATCTTAGCGGGTCAACTTTGTTTCGTCTCTCGGACAGACGCGTCAACCTAGAATCGAATTATTCGCGTTGTAATTGATATCACCAAAATTTGTCGTGAATAGCGACATACATATTTCATTGAAAATACCTGAAATCACAGATCATCAACACTATAGGATTTAACATACAACATCGAACTCGAAGGGGTCTTGGAAGAGACTATCGCTGTGATTAGATCCTTATCTGAGCTTTTAGCACTTCGTTATAGCAATAGTTCTGAAAACTAGCTTTCAATCGCTACCAATACCATGTATCGTCGCAAGAAAGATCATAAACGTGGAATTACCTACTCGCTCATGCTAGTGGGTGACTCGGGCACTGGGAAAACAACTTTTGCGAACAATTTGTTGGAAATGGGTATTTTCCCACACCAGTATGAGATTGATGCGCCTAAATTGGCCGAAAACAGCCGGGTGAAAGTGGTCAAGCCAACGATGGTACTTTCTTACAATTCAAAAAACGGAATTCCGTCACATATGGCGCAGTTTGATGCGTCACGCGAACATTTTGAGCCTGGCGTTACGATCACATCGACATCTATGGAGATCTCTACGGGCCAAGAACCGTTACCGTCGCGTTCGTCGGTTTCCAGTGATAGCTCATCAACAACCCAAAATGGTGGCATCAGCACGGACAAAATTGCATTTTCTTTGGTGAAAACATACGGTTTGGGTGAGAATATCGACAATACTTTGTGTTTTAACGAGATCACGGCTTTTTTGGAGCAACAATTCGATCAAGTCTTGGGAGAAGAAACGCGTATAAAGCGTAATCCCAGATTTGAAGACACAAGGGTTCACGTTGCACTCTACTTTATCCCACCAACGGGTCACGGTTTGAGAGAAATGGATGTGGAAATGATGAAAAGACTTTCTCGCTATACCAATGTGCTCCCCATTATCTCCCGTGCAGATTCATTCACAAAGGAGGAACTTGCCAAGTATAAAAAACAGATAATGGACGATATCGAGCGTTTCAATGTCCCTGTTTACAAATTCGAAGTTGATCCCGAGGAAGACGATATGGAGACTGTTGAAGAAAATCAAGCTCTTGCTATGCTCCAACCTTTTGCCGTGATGTGTTCTGATGAGAGGAACGAAAATGGTCAGTTTGTGAGACATTATCCATGGGGTGAGGTAAAAGTCGACGATGATAGCTTCTCCGATTTGCGAATTCTCAAAAACGTACTGTTCGGTTCCCATTTCCAGGAATTCAAGGACACAACCCAAAATTTCTTGTATGAGAATTATAGAGCTGAAAAATTGTCTTCGGTTTCCGATTGGGATGTGGACAAGGTTGGCGATACTGCTGCTGATAAAAGAAACTCTGCTGCGCCAAGTTTATCAAATTTTGCTTCCTTGATAACGACAGGTCAGTTCAAGTCCTCAAATTCTTTGGCTATGCCTCCACGTTCGGACACTCCTACGACTCCAAATTCGAAAGACATCAACCAAGGTTTCGATATTGAATCTCCTGCTTTGAGACAGGAATCTCAGAGCATAAGACTTGGTAATGAAGAGATTATCAATAATATAAAGAACTCTCCGAGATCGTCCGCCCCCGGCTCGCCTGACAAGAGCAAATTGAGAAACATATCAGAGACGGTTCCTTACGTTTTGAAGCACGAGCGTATCATAGCCAAACAGCAAAAGCTAGAAGAACTAGAAGCACAATCTGCTAGGGAACTTCAGAAGCGCATTCACGATCTGGAAAAGAGAGCTGCGGATTTGAAACTGAGGGAAAGGCTTTTACGCCAGCAGCATTTGAATGGCTCAAATGCTTCCATGAGATCAAGGTCTTCTTCTATTGCACAAGCCGCTCCAGTTCAATCGACGCTGAAAAAAGAAGAAAGTGTAACTGACCTAGCATCGATAGTCAGCGGTAGAGCATGAATTTGCTAGACATTCCATGATCTAGTCACCACAGCCATCTTTATGTCAAGGAATGTATAAGAGAAGATGTCAATTAGATATTACAACGCACAGGTATATGTATATAGAAAAGTCCCTTGGTTGGTGAAGTAAAATTCTGAATGCAGCATGAAGAATGATAATAGAAAGTGATGAGGACAAAAAAGGGAAATGAGCTTGTTTTCAGAGAGTCAAACGGGAACTGCCGACTAGAAATAAGCTAACAGGGAAGAAAAATGCAGATCAACGATGAAGTGCCGACCATTTTTAACCAAAAAGCGAAGATAAAACAACTTTCAGCAAAAAGAACCGATCATGATGTTTTCCGAGGTCAGGAAACGCGCTTGACCAGGATTAATCGGAAAATAGACTATTTGTCTATCACATCCAAGCGTTCATGGTTTGATAGTGTCTAAACCTTGAACACCGGCCGTAGATAGAAAAATGATGCTCAACAATACAACTTGGCATCGTAGGAATTTGAACGAAAACCCACAAACCAATAAAAGAATCAAAATGAGACGAAGCTTACGCAGTTTACTTGCTGAAGGCAGTTGCGTAACTGTAATTCCCATTGCCAACACTTCCACCATTGCCACTTCTTCTGCTGTTGGGTCCACGCACGCCCAAAGGATTTTTGGAAAAGCTCAATCTTATCCCACCCTTATTATTATGCTGAGTATTCGAACGGGGAAGCTGTCTACCATATAACTCAGCGAGAGCCCGAGTGGCATGCGCCACATCTTCGAACTCAACAAAACACATAGGCCCGTGACCGTTACCATTGGTGTTTTTATTCCTGAAAGACAGCCGCCTGAAACCCTTTTGCGTTGAGAACAATTGGCGAAGTTCGTGTTCGGTTGCATCTGGAGGCAAATTGCCAACATACAGGGTGTTGCATGGCGGATTTTGATCAGCGGGATTGGCCGGAGGTGGGACACGAGCCAACAGTGACAGATCCACTTGAGAGATTCCACCTGCAGAAGTGAGCGATGATGAAGACGCAGCTTTTTGAGGCAACGTGATATTGGGTTGAGAACCTTTGGAAGTGCTATTTCTTTGTCCAGAAGGCTTTTGGGTTCCATTAACAATTTGGGGATCTTGGGATTGTGCGGGTGCTGCAACCATTTGACTTTGAGGTGGTTGTTGTTGTCTCGACTGCGGTTGAGGAGCCAATCCCATTTTTACTGCAGGTGTGGAGTTTGTTCCAGAGGCAGGTCCAACAACGGTGAAAGGTAAGTTTGAATGCTGCTGTAATGATGATCCCATTTGATGCGGCAATGCGGCGGACATATTCATTGGAGGCATGTCATTAGGTGAAGCCGTATTGGTACCCACAGCGTTGAAGAAGCTAGAGCTTTGCTTTCTCTGAGGTGGGCCCCATTCTAGCGAGGGTGTAGCAGGCTGAGACGTTGTTGTGGCGAGACCGCCCATGCTCGACGGTATACCGCCATTAGATCCCCAAATGCTCTCGTTAATTTCGTCATTCTCCATCAACAAAAAGGACTTTCCAGCGTCTTGTGACTTTAGTGGTGTAGTAGCGACATCTTGCGACTGAGGTTGCGATGGTTGATTAGTTTCGGTATTGAAAGGATCCGAAAATGAAAACCTTGATCTTTGACCATACAGGGTAGGTCTTTTTGCCGAAGATGCAGACTGTGGTGGCGAAACCACGCTGGTGGAGCCAGGAAGCTGAAATGCGTTTTGTTGTTGACTTTGTGGTGGATCTGTCAGATCTTCATTTTGGTCATTTGCATTTGACTGCAATGCTGCTTGATGTTGTTCCTGAGACAGGGTTTGTGAATGCTGTAACGTCGTTTGAGATAACACTCGAGGACTTTGACGGTCAGGAGACGCTTGTAGATGTTGATTGAACGGAATGTGTTGATGCGAAACTTCATCGTAAACCACCACTTGAGATCTATAGGGAAATTCAGGCCCGAAAATATGCGATTTCCCGTCAAGAATTGCCGCGTAATGAGTAACCAAAGGCAAAGAGTCAAACTTGACTTCCAGTTCGCTGGTGTGAGTGTAGTTATTTGCTTCGCTAGGAGGCTGGGCGGACAAGTTGATATTATGAACGCCATCTGCCAATGCAAAGATCGCATGACATTCCCGTAGCGTTGCGTCCCTCGGAATGTTTTTCATTTTCAAAATAAATGGACCTTGAACGTTGCTCTGGGAGGCTGAACCACTCATTGCCAAATTGTTGAGCATTGTAGCCAGATGAAGAGGCGAATTGTTATTGCTGGAGCTCGAACCTGCCAAGCCCAAAGAGCTCTGATGTATCGGTGAAGAATTGCCAGGTGTGGCTATGGGTCCCAGCTTGTCAGAACCGGTGCTGAAACCACGATGCAAGCCGAAATCGCCATGTTCCAACGGCGACGAATTACTGTTGACCACAGACATGAGATGAGATTAGATGAAACGTCTTAGTTTTGCTTACGTGTAATGCAATAGTCGTGCGTCAACGACAAAAGCCCAAAAAAATCTGGATTGCTGGAATGTAAGAATCCAAACCAAGACCAACTAGTAGTGTGTTTGGAATGCCCCACAAGTTCTGTGTGTGTGTAAAGATATAACAGGAAAAGAAAACCACAAACAATGAAACGAAAAAAGGATGTGCAACTTCCGTGGAGCTAGCTTCTGTCTTGATTGTGATCACTTCTGAGCCCTGAACTTTCTTACTGTTTGTCCTTTTGCCACTGTGTAACACGATTTCGTCGGGTTTGCACGCACGAATGATAAAGTAGACCAAATAAATCCGCTAGAAATCCACCAGAAATCCTTATTTCCAATCTTTCCAACTGTTTCAATCGATTCCACTCGCTTCAATCGTCCTAATACGGTTTTGTTCACCAGTCTTAAGAGGCCTTAATTTGTTGTTTTTGCCTTTATATTTTGTGTTTTTACCACTTTGCCAGTTGAAAGTTAACTCCTTTCCCAATTCTCATATTATCACTATTCGAATTCGGTTCGTCCGTGGATACCCTTTTGTTTATAAGGTCGTAAAATTTTTTCCCGGTAGTATCATAACCAGGTTGGCACACACATAAAGACACGCAGAGATGCGCGACAGCGTGCTGAATTTGGCGCGTCGTGGCAGGTGGATCAGCACGAACCTTAATTACTCACAGGGATAGAGGGGCAATGGAAACGCGTGCTGGCAGGAAAAAGCGTTACAGCTTGAATGGGTTTGTGCGTAGTTGTTGGTGCATGGCACGGGAGTCGCAGTAGAAGTTGAGGTGGGGGTTTATTAACGTGGGAATAATAATTTTTTTTCTGAGCAGTAAATTCAGGTTAAGTGGTGGTAGTAGTGGTTTCGTTAAGGAATTGCCTAGATGGAGTGAGGATGTGTTTTAGTATGATAACTGGTAAAACAAAACTTCACGTGACATACACGTGACACGATTCCGTTCTCGTACGAGACTACCCAAGGTGTCGTATTGTGTGATAAAGAACTATCACCATACACGAACAAACATCTGTGTCTCTTCAAAAACGGATGGTTGTGTGTGTTTGTCCCTGCAAGATGAGGGCAATTCTCAAGCCTGTCATCCCACATAAACTGTCACTCATAAAGCTAGGAATTGTCCTCTCGCTGTTTTTCCCATTTTCAGAAGAAAAATGAACGACAGAAATGTTCCCGTTTGAGAGAAAGTAGCTTCTCTGGGCTTTGCGATTGAGCACTCCCCGATTTATCAGACCACTCCGAACAAAGCACGCTTTCTATGCCCTGATCACACTTCTCTAAGCTTTTCTGGTTTCTCTAAACGCATTTTTTCGCCACCTTCATTTGTAATCCTTGCGCTGTCTTTATACAGGTCTTCCGGTCCTTAACTGTCTAAACACATACCAAAGACTGGCATTAGGATTCTATGCTGCTACCACAAGTGCTGAATAGTATTTTATAAGTCGTCTTGACACCTTCGCTCTTAGCCGCCCAGCCCAGATGATCGCCTCTAAAAGGCCTAATTCTGTACCGAGAGCTTCATGTATACGTCCCAGCTTCTGATAATCATCTCAGCACTGATAGAAATGACGCTCGATCATTCATCCTTTCTTCTTCTTATTTTTTGTGGTATCGTGGTTTTAAAAGGTATATACAGGAGATTAAGTTGCCAGCGCTTTTATCACTATTATTAATAGAGAAGCCTAACCAAACAAAAAAGTCTACGAAAGCGAGTCTTGGGGTTAAAATGCTCCTGCTGGTCATCAGTCAATGACTTATTCCACCGTTGGAATTCTCTTCCTTCCGTTGTCAACCGCCGCTTTCGTGCTCGATTGCGAAAGCCAACGGATGCTCTCTTTCAAAATTCTTGTAGCGCATCCCAATTGCTCTTGATATACTCTCAGCTCTCTAAAATTAAGTCAGCGGATATGTGACTGTAGTTTTCCACCTTTCACATCTCTTGCATTCTTCACCTCTAATACTTGAGTTGCGCCAGCATCATTTCCCTGTAAAAGTAACACTACCGCGAACACAATGTTTCAAAAAAAGCTATGAAGAGCATTCTAGTACAGTTTTCAGAATTGAAATTCTTGAGTAGTTGGCAATGTGGCTAGGATTTGCAATCTTTGGTGGGCTCCATAAGCTTCTCGTTGGAAACTTTAAAGCTTATACTTCAAAACATGCTTGAGATTTGCCCGCCTTCAATACTCAAAGTCTAGTGGTGGTACATAAAACTATTTTACAAGCGCTATTTTGCTAGAATAGTACCCTAGACTGTGATGCCCAACTGATTCCAAACAAAGGGTATTAGCGGAACACGATTGTCGCAATACTTATTACTTCAGCTAGTCTTTACCGCTAGTCTTTACCGCTCTTTCGTGAGTTATTCAATTCAAAGTACAACTATAAAGTTATGAAAAGTGTTCATAATGTCGTAAATATAGGAAACCCTGCCGGCTTCGTGTTTCTAACGTCTTTAAACTTATTTAGAATAAGCTGCAGCCGCATTTGATGGTCGATCATGAGTTTGGTTCTTGATACGATCGTCAATTTGTTCTGCTTTCGCCTCAACAAAGTTGGCATTACGAGGCGTACGATCGTGGGCCGACGTTGCCTCTTCCTCGATTGGAATTTGCGAAGGGTCCGTCATTTGATCTCCGCCTGCTTCAGATCCCACAGATACATTACGTCTACTTTGAGGACCTTGAGACGTGTAGGACGGATTATTATCAGTGACGGATGACTTTCTTCTTCCCACGGCTCCATAGGTCAATTCTGATGGATCAACAAGGCTGGGTTTGTTACCAATCTGACGCGCATAAGCATCTTCGTTCTGGGCCCATTCTGGATCGACGTTGGGTTTCTGCAGTTCATTGTAGTGCTTGATCTTGTACTCTTCAGCACTTGTAATCCCAACGTGATGCTTGCCCTTTGCCTCCGATGGTGCATTTTTCTCACCGCGACTCATGGTGTCACGACTTTCTGTCTCGTGTGGGTCGGTGGGCCTTCCAGCATCAGCGTGGCTACTCCTGCGTCTACCGGTCATAGCACCCCAAGCATCTTTGAATGTAGTGGAAAGTTTCGAAAACTCGCTAGTATCCTTCGAACTATCCTCCTCACGAAGCGCTTCGCCCTGATCATGATGCTCCTGCCCATGGCCGTGCGATTTTCCAGAAACAGTCCTGCCTAAGGCAGCAAACGGAGCATTGCCTAGGCTCATACTTCTGCTCTTGGCTCTTGTGCGGTTTCCACTAGAATCTGTACTTTCAGCAAGTGAAGATCTCCGTCTTTCATTGTCAGTGGATGTCGGGTCTCGCTGGTCTGAACCCAAACCTGATGGGTGATACGCTTCGAATCCTTCTTCTTCGTCTTGTGATAACACCATTTGTTGTTGGGGAATGTCTGCTGCCACATTAGCATGTTGGCCGACTGCTCCAAAATCTTTGTCCTGATGACGACTTTGCCCTTTGCTATCTTTGTCGGTATGAGATTCTAGGCCCTGACCAGTTGATCTGCTGTCTTTCTCAATGGGAAATTGTTGTCTGTTGCCACCATCACCACCAAGTGGGAACTTGTGACCAGCAACCCAAATGCCCTTTCCACCCTGAGAAGTAGTGTCAGGTTCGACGGTTTCTGCATGTTCCGGTGAGTGACCACCACGAGTAGAAGTAAATTCTCTCACGTTCCCATGGTCTCTCAAATTACTTTCGTCCTTAGTGGCGGCAGCCGGCCCAATGTTGCCGGTATGCTGCGTGTGCTTATCACCATGGATAGCGGGCGATGTCTCAATGTTGCCGCCATAGGTCCTGGAGGATGGTTCGACATTTCTGGAATCTTGTGCACTCTGAGCTCCGTATGCAGCGGTAGCTGCAGCAGTAGCCGCCTCAATGTCTCCAGTATGATGTGAGCTATTTCCTCCATGAGCAGCATGATGATGCTTGCCTTGTGCTTTGGGATTCAAAGTGTCGTCTGGAGCCTTTTCGTGATGTTCGTGGCCTAATTTGAGCTCTTCGCGATTGGTATCGCGTTCTGCACCTGCGTAGCTTTCCTCTGAGGGACCGCGGCCTCCTGATGCTAAAGCATCGAATAACGGCGCAATCTTCCCAGCAAGCTCAGTGTCACTTTTTTTAGGATCCAACGTACCTTGAGCTGTGCCATGGCGCTCAGTTGATCTCAAATCTTCACGATTTTCGTGGCCGAGATCTTCAGACAAACCTCTCTCCTTCGCAAAATCACGCCCTTCACCATAGTATCCATAAGCACCTGATGGAGGGGCAGCAGTAATGTCTTTGGAAACATGAACGTTTGCATTTTTTGGGGTTTCACCGGCTTTGGTTTCCGATTCAAAAGCCGGAACCGCCTTGTCACTTTGGCCAGTGGTGTATGCGCTGTCAATGAATTCACCGGGGACATGAATGCGATCATCCTTTGGCTTCTGATCGTGCCTGGATTTAGACTCAACCCCAGGAACTAGCGGCCTGTTGGCCATGGTTTCAGTGGGACTCTTGACATTTTCGTACTTATTCTTTACCCCTGGGCCTTGATAAACCTCACCAATACTACCTGTCAAATTCTCAGAACGTTTTCCCTCATCAGAGTTGATACTACGAGACTGCAAGTTGCTTCCCTTCCCTTGGTAAAAAGATTGGTGAGAATCTTTGGGTGATGTCTTGATGGTTTCACCCAAAACAGGAGTATCATGACCTGCAGAATTCTTCCTGCCAAAATGCTTCTTGTGTTCGTTGGTGCTTTCACCAACAGCAGCTGCATCATGGTCAGCAGAATTCTTCCTGCCAAAATGCTTTTTCTGCTCACTGAATTTATTTCTCAATCCAAGAGGGTCTAGGACAGAAGAACTAGAATTCGTGTCCGCCTTTTCTTTTGATACGTGGCCGGCTGATTCCGTAGCTGCACTCTTGGAATTTCTCCTTCCAAAAATACCCCTCTTGTGCTGCTCGATCTCTGGAGCAGACGTAGCAGGTAAGCTCTCTCCTTGAGAAGGTAACTGTGCGCCCACTGGTAGCGTGGTACTGAAAGTGTGCGCATTGCGCGCCTCAAAGCCTTTACCTGGCGGAGTTTCCATGTCTTCACCTTGATGGTGGTGCTGATCGTACTCGCCATGTTGATGAAATGCTGGGTCCTGGGATTGTTTGACGTTTTCATTTCCTCTACCGCCAAGGCCAGAAGATTCGAGTTTTTCAACATCCTCGATTGGGTTTTTGCGACCCTGTGAAGCATCAAAGATGTAATCTCCCTGTTGACCGCTTAAATTAGCTTGAGTAGACGATTCGTTAAACTTGTCAGTTCCGTGGGTTTCCGTGTCCGACTTGAATGGGTTATTAGAGTGAAGCTCTGACTCGTTGTAATGAGAAGACGATGTTGGTTTAGGCTCTGCAAGTTTATGGGTTTCATCTTTGGAAGCAGATGCAGTGGTCGCCTCTTCTTCATCTCCCATGTGGGTGAGATTCATAAGGGTCCTGTCGGTGACTTGATAGTTAGTAACAATAAACATGAATTACTGCTAGGTACTTTTTGTTTGAAATGAAGGATTGCTGATTGCATCATCATAGTGGTGAATTATCTGGGATTAGTGGTGTGAGAGGTGGGAAGGGGAGAAGAGAATCAAGCGCGTATTACAGGCACGCCTTCAGAGTCATATTCGGTAGCCGCGACCGGCTGCTGTTGTTGTTGTGGCACTTGTCGTTGGTTGCCGTTGGTGTCATGCTTGACTCGCATTTTCCAAAACTTGACGTTTCCCGACCCGCGAGAAGCGCCTCGATCGTCACGGGTCTCCATAGTGGTTTTGTCGCCGTTTCCATAAGTGTCATCGGAGAACCCGGGTTCCAGGGTATCGTAATGACGACGCTGACGCGAATGGGACAGACGACGCGCACTGAAAAATGACGCCACGATCGACGACCAAATAGCACACACCAACAACAGGGCTACACTAGTCCAAATAAAGGCGAAATTCTTACGTCCCAGTTTTGCCGACCGTTGGGCATCGTGAAACACATTGCGGCCCTTGACGTAGCAGCCCGTGTACAGACAAGCCGCCAGCGTTACAAAGAACCACGCCAGCCACAGTGCCAAAACGGCCAGCCACGCGTTCACTAGCGACGTGGAGAAAATCGTGACAGCCACCGGAATCACCGCCAAAACCACGTACACGAGTCCCACCAGCAGCATGGCCCAAGCCACCCGCGACAGATAGTAGTAGGTGTTGCGGTGGTTGGCAAAAGGAGCTGGCAGACTGTCACTGGCGCCGAAATTGTCCTTGGGCGAGAACGGAGACGCTGGTTTTTTGCCGGAGCAGTTTTGCAACGCCCCATTTTCGAGCCCGCACCAATCGTAATTGAACCACCTGGTCGTGCCCGGGGCACTCCCCAAGCCCGAAGTGTCAGCCTCCAGCCAGTAAAAGTCTTTAAGAACGCCCGAATTCCGGGCCCCAGATAAAATCACAAAAAATGACAGCAGTCCTGCTCCTAGCAACAATGTGAAGAACACAATGGTAACAGACTGTTTCAAACGCATTTGTGTTGAGTGTTTAAGAAGAAGCTACGATATCTTTTTTTGTTTTGTTTCCTTTTTCTTGTTTGATTTTCTACCAACAAAGTGTCATCAACAATAGCAGAGCCGTAATGACAGTTTCTTCAGAAGTGCCTCCCCTTTATACTTTTTTTACCCCCAGCGCTTTAATTACCAAATCAAAACACAAGGCTCCCCTAACCCCAATTTTTTTTACAATTTGGCGTTTTTGTGTAACCTGTTTTTGTGTAACCTGTTTTTCATCTTTGCTTTAATGCGAGACAGTATGTGATTGGCTCGTTCATTGTTGGGCCCGTTGTTTGTCTGTCTCCAACCCCTGTATCTCGCTGTATGGTCCTTGAAGACTGGCTATTGCTTTCGTGCCGCTACTACTGCCTCTCCTCTCCAATTTCCCCGGACCATGGCATCAAAGGTTCTGGACTCCTGGACCCTTTTTTTAAGTGTAGGGTGGGTGATCATTTTGTCATATAGTGACGCGGCTTTCATGGATTGCTCTTGACACATAACAGAACAAAGACGTGTGTGGGAGACGTGGGTGGGAGACATGGGAGGAGACATAGGCAAGGATACGAGGGTGGGGAGGCTGAATTAGAAGGCTGTGATTCAGAAGGCTTTGGACTAGGAATGCTTTAAGCTGCGTTGTGTTGGGTTGTGTTGTCTCTAAGCTGGGGTAAAATTCTTTTTCTTGCTTTACATGCAATACTGCCTGCAATTCTGCCTGCTAACGTAAACTTCGGTTCTCTTGCTTCACATTCAAGTCCTTTTGCCAATCTCTCGTTTGTCTTCCATTTTCTCTTGCTCATTTCAAATTTATTCCTCTTGCTTGACATGCATTTCGGCTTGCAATTCGTAGATCGAACACTCTATAGGACACCAGATTCGTACGTTTCGAGAGCTACTCACAGGAGCCTTGAAAGGCGACAGACGGAATGTTAATCGCTGATCACCACCGGCTACAAGACCTGAAAGTTCATTTTCACTCGCCCGAGTCTGGGCCCCGCCGTAGAAATTCGCAATGTTGTGAGCACCCGGAATCTCCACTCGCAGCAAACGGTGCGAGTCCAGCATGTCCTGGGTGAGGTAATCGTTGGTGAGATGGAAAACTAAACATTCCGGTGCTTGCAGCACGTGCACGACCTTGGCGTGCACCTCGAAAACGGCAAGGACATCGTTCTCGTCGTCGTCGTTAGCATCACCACTAACGTTGTTCATGGTGGCCAATACCGGAAGCTCAACATCATCTGTGACCTTCAAGTTGGCCGTAATACCGCTCAAATTCGGTGGCTCCCACACTTGAACTTGCATCGATAGTGATGGATCCTGTCGTTGCTGATGGTGATGAGGGTTGTGATGAGCATTTTCGTCGATAACGACCAAACCGTTGAATTTGGTTATAGGGAAGAACATCGCATATTGGTCGAATCTCTGGACCAGCAGCGATTGTGGGATGTGTGCAATGCTTCTGGTATAAAAAGACCTTAGAAACTGGATCTCATCGGGCCGCAAATTTGGGTCGTGGGCCAAAATAGGCTCGCACGTGCGGACAATCCCGTCAACCCCGCCATTGTACAGCTTGACCTTCAGTTCCAACCGGCACACAATGCCCTGGTGCGTCAGATTGTTGTCAAAAACGTTAAATAGTTCCTTGTAAGTAATGCCCATCTTCTCCCGAACGTAGCGGTCGAATTGTGCCAAGTGATCGTTGTAGATCACAAACGGGAACGCTTTGTCCTGTGGCAACCGATCTGCGTACGTCCCTATAAAGGCATCGGCAGCAGAAAGAGTGTTGCTTGGGTGCGACGTAAAATCCGTGAATGCGAATTTGGTCATCTTCTTGCCAACGCTTTTGGCACTCACCAGCAACGCAAAAGTCCTCACAAACTCAACCCGTTTCTCGGCAAGCGAAATGGCTGAAAACGTCGTGAGTGGATCTCTGGATTCCTGCGAATACTGGGATGAATGATTGCTAGAAACAACGACTTGACTCGCCGCTGGTGTGGGAGGAGGGGACACCAGCTTTTCAATTCTTTCATCGGCCTTAACGGATCTCAATGCCAGCTTGAAAGTGAAATGACCGTTTCCAAGCAACAGCGGAACTTTTTTGGCCGCGATAGTAAGCTTGTCCTCTCTGCAGTAAGTTCTTAGCTGTTCTATCAAGGATTCTGAACTGTCAGCATCGAGGAGTTTTGACCCGCACTTTATATTATCAACAGAGTTGGCCTCAATCTCTACGCAATTGACATTTACGCACAGAAGCTCGGAATCCGCCGTTAGTTCTTGATCACCGGGCTGACAAAGAAGCACCGCGCTAGGACCAGTCGAGCCATGATGGACGCGTATACCCGCTACCCTAACTTGTAATTTCAAAATTTCATCTGTGCATGCACTCGCAATCGAAGAATTCAAGGCTTTGATGTTGTGTTCCAAAGCACCCGAAACTCGCTGTTTTTTGGGTGGAGGTTGTTTTTTTTCTGCCTCCAGATTTTCTCCAGTATCAAAAGAAGTCACAGAGCTCGTAGATGACAGACTGGATTGCTGAATTGGGGCTTCCGCTTGGATATTTTTCCCCGTTTGTGCGTAATTGGTGTTAGCAAGATGTATAGTCTTTGGCCTAGCTTCTAGAGCCCGCAGCTGTGAAACTGCTCCACTTTCTGCCGTACCCATGGCGCTTGAAACTGTGGAATGGAATCCCGAACTTCCCGAGTGTTCGATTCTGTCGTTTGTGAGAGAATCACCTTGAGTTCCACCCGCTGGAACTGCATTGCTTGGCTGGCTCCAATGTGCATATGAGTTGAAATCTGGGTCAGTGTCTGGAACCTGGGAATCAAAGTCGTTCACGGAATCGTGATCGTTGTTGAATCTCGCGGCCCCATACATAGGATTTTTCGTGTTTATCAATTGTATGGATTCTTGGCGGGCTTGGAAGTAGCGCAGCATTTCATTAGTTAGATTTGACAATTTCACAAATTTGAATTGGGCTTTCGAATTACGGTTGAGTTTCACCAGGTTATCGAAGATTGTTTTTGTAGCCTCATATACAGCAGTGCCCATATCGTTATCTCGAGCAGCAAACAGCGTAGTGTTCAGATCGATGGGACGCAGTCCCTTCAAAAAAATACCATAGCTGCTGCCACGGCCTACCAATGCACCTTTACAAAGTACAAAGCACAGTTTATCCAAATGTATATGCTCAAGGTTGAATTGTGTCTCAGCCTCATTCTCCGGGAATTCAAGATCAAATTGTTGAGAGAACAACGAAAGGGTCATTCGAGTGAGATTCAAAGTCGCAGTCGTATTGCATATGATTCGACAAGTGTAATCAGGTTCTTCGGTGTCACCATGCTGGAAGTTTTTGAAGTATAGATGGCATTTGGTCTGAGGATCAAAATCAATGTCTGTTAATACAGATACAAATTGTATACCGCGATTCACCATTGTGTCCCCCGAGAGGAGGCTCGAAAGCTCTCCTGGACTCTTGACAAACACGTATTCATTAGCCAGCGCGTCGCTCATGCCTCACTTTCAGCCCTGATAACTCTTTTTACTTGACTGTTGACATTCTCAAAAGTTAAAGATGTTCGATAGACGTTATATTGTCGTAAACTAGTACGACGAGAACCTTTGAATTCATTCGTGAAAGATACCTGGACAGTATCAGTGGCCTCTTATCGACAAATCTGTCCGATTCACAATGTTTGGATTATCCAGATCTAATGGGCCACAAAAGAAGGTGTTAGTTACACAAGACGACTTTTACGATGACGCAGTTGCAAAGGAAGAGCAAGCTGAAAGATGGGCATTATCTGATATCAAAAAGACCATCCGGCAGTACCTATTGGCATTCGAATCATACGAGAGGGGTCTCAATGCTGCAGAGGCCACGTTGAGTGGGAGCTGCCACATCTATTATAATCAAACTAGACTGCTGTTGAAGATGCATACGGATTTCATTGCTAATGATGGACACATCAATATTCTCCAATACGTCAATCTGAGCGATCTTGGTGACCTGACTGTTCTATTCCAGCCACTAGGATCCATTACCGAACGTTTCGAACTTGCATTTGCCAAGTTCGGAGACATATGTTCCTGGGACTTGCATTTCAACCTTTTGACCTGTTATTATAGTCGAATCGAAAACTTCGAAACTGTACCTGGTCAAGAAGTTTTGCACGTTTTTGAGAAGTTTAGGACGCTTAGCCAAAAACTCATTGAGCTGCACGTTCAGGAACTCGAAACTTGGGATGTGGCCAATGCCGATGGACTCTCCAATGTCGAGTCATACGAAGATACCGCCAAGGGACCCGACCAGGAGCGCGACCAGGAGCCCGAAGCTGTGGAAATGCAGGATGAAATTACAGTCTGGACGCTAATCGACACGCTGGCAGTAAGCTATCGTTGTATAGCCGCCGTTTTGGAGCTGTTCATCGAGTCTAGCAGCGGGACGCTGGATACTCTAAACGCTGTGCAAGCCGACTGGCTTAGCAACAATGCTCAAGAGTACAAATCGCAGCTGGACAATTTCTTGGCAAACACGACCCACATTCATGAAGAGTCTGCTGACACCGGGGAGCTGAAGCTCGCGATATGGTCCATTGAAGCACTCAGGATTGCCACTGACGATGGGTTTGAAGGTTTGAAGACCCTTATCGCAGATCTTCCCAACGAAGACACGGGCAGGCTGCTTATCGCAGTGGATGTGCTGCACTTGGCTGGACAGCCTTCCCGGGGCACTGCCAATTCGCAACTATGGGCCATATACACGGAAATCGGACGAGTTTTGAGAATTGTAGATTCTCAACTTGCTGCAAAGCGGCAGGACATCACGAGTGGTCGTCTTAAGCACATTGAAAACGAGCTGAGTCCCACCGTTTTCCATCTTTGTGACGTCCTAATAAACCGTTCCGATAATGAGCTTTTCCGGTACATGATCAAGACCTCTTCTACAGACACCAGCACAAGCTATGATGGTAGTTCAGACCCCAACGCTGCCAAGACTGCAGCAGTGTTACTAAAAAACGCCCAAGTCCTGCTCAAGAATGCTAAGGCCATATCCCAGCAATCTTGCGGCTTTCGTGAGTACATCTCGGACAAACTCAAGCGAAACTATATTTACAAGCAAGCTGAAGATCGTCTAGAGTTCATCGAGTCTCATAAAACCACAGAAACCATCTCAGAACTTGCTCAAAACCATCCATTTTACGCTACAAATTACAGCTTTCACTAAACAGATGCAAATCAGTGCTACACCCATGGAGAGTTAATCGATCTGACCGCGTGCCGCTACCATCCAAGTATAAAACTTATACCTGACTCTACCACTTGATTTGAACGTCACATTATCTCATCATCATCACTTATCATCGACACCAAAGCTATATTTGGATCGATCGCCTAAGACGTTAGATCCTGTATTGATTTTGAGATCTGAATATATATAAAATACGCGAAACAGAGGTCAAACAGTTTCGGGTTTTGGAGGACTTCAACAGCTATAAAACCATCCGTCAAGAACTTTAGAATTTATGGATTACCGTTACCAATATGGAAATGGCTACGCACATGCTGATAGCAGCCAAAACACAGTAATGGAGCCCAATGTGAGCGAAGATGGACATCCAGAAGATCACGAAAACAGACAACAATATGGAGAGTTCTTCCAACAATATCCGCAGCAGTACGCGCAAAACACACAACCAGCGCATACTGGCGAGTTCGAAGAGTATCACGATAACTCCCACGATGCTCACGAATCTTACCGGATGCAAAACGCGAATTATACGCAACAATACAACGTTCCTACGATCAACGTGTATCATGCTGCACAGCCCATTCCCCTGGCTCACGATAATGTCATACCGATGCCATCGAGTACTGCCATAGCAAGCAACGATCAGCTTTATGCCATGGACTACGAACCTAGGAATTCAGATTCCAGCGCTCAGATCAGCAACGACGAGTCATTCCCACCAGATACTATGCCGATTTTGAACCATCACCATCTCCAACAACGCAGACCACCTCCGGTATCAAATTCCGCCGCATTTGGTTCAGATCTCAACCAGCCAACAGATTACTACAAATACGATCCTGAAGACCCTACAGACTACATCGATCAAACTGGCGATGACTATCAGATCAACACATTTTACGGCAATAATAACCAAATGGCCAACCCATATGCCAGTACTTTTGATCTCAACGACTACGCCGACCAAGAAGTGTATTCGGACGGAGCTAGCTCATTAATAGGCTACGACGAGAGAAGAAGCAGAGATTTGGCCGACTATTCGTACGACAATGCGGACGCCAATACGCTTTCGAAACTTGCGGTGTCCAGAGAACAGGGCGATGAAGAAGACGAAGACATCGTGCTGAACAGTCGCGGTGAGAAAATGGGTAGTAATGGCTCCCATGACAGGGCCCATGGGCCAGAAAGGACACACACAACAGTGCGGAAATTCAAGTTGAGCATGGGCAATTTCGTCTTCGATTGTCCCATCAGTGAAAACCTCATAGCGCAATATGTGAGAGCTGTGGACGACGAGAATAAGCTTTCAAATGAATTCAAATTCATGAGATATCAAGCTGTAACGTGCGAACCGCTGATGTTTCAACCGAATAATTTCACGCTTCGCCAACTCAAGTACGGGCAACCTCGGCGTACGGAACTAATGATAGTGATAACCATGTACAACGAAGATGACGTCTTGTTGGGAAGAACGCTCAAAGGCGTTATGGACAACATACGTCATTTCACAAAGAAGAAAAATTCGTCAACTTGGGGCTCTGATGCGTGGAAAAAAATTGTGGTTTGTGTTGTTTCAGATGGGCGATCTAAGATTCATGAACGCTCTTTAGCTCTTATGAGTGCCCTAGGTTGTTATCAAGATGGCTTCGCAAAGGGCGAAATCAACGACAAGAAGGTGATTGCGCACGTTTATGAGCACACTTCTAAAGTCAACATTCGAAGCGTCAAAGATGGCAAGGTCGAACTTGATTGTGGTGTAAATACTGTACCCATCCAATTGTTGTTTTGTCTGAAAGAAAATAACCAAAAGAAAATCAATTCCCATCGTTGGGCTCTAGAGGCGTTTGGGGAAGTTTTGCAGCCCAATGTCGTCAATCTTTTGGATGCAGGGACAATGCCCGGCAAGGACTCTATTTACGAACTATGGCGTGAATTTAAAAATCCTCAGGTGGGTGGAGCATGCGGAGAAATCAAGACGGATCTGGGCAAAGGTTTCAGAAAGCTTTTGAATCCTCTTGTAGCTTCGCAAAACTTTGAGTACAAACTTTCAAATATTTTGGATAAGACTACAGAATCCAATTTCGGTTTTATCACTGTGCTACCGGGCGCATTTTCTGCGTACCGGTTCGAAGCGATACGAGGGGAGCCATTGCGTAAATATTTCATGGGAGACGATTTGAATGCAAGGGTTTTTATTTCCAACATGTATCTTGCTGAGGATCGTATCCTGTGTTTCGAGATTGTGACGAAGAAAGACAGCAATTGGATCTTGAAATACTCAAAGAGTTCTTATGGATCCACAGATGTTCCTGAAAAAATACCAGAGTTCATCCTGCAGAGAAGAAGATGGATGAATGGATCTTTCTTTGCGGCACTGTACTCTTTCATTCACTTTTACAAGATTTGGAGCAGCGGTCACTCTGTGGGCAGAAAATTCATGCTCAACCTGCAATTCATTTACCTTGCACTAACTAGTTTGGTGTCATGGTTCTCTTTGAGCTCATTCTTTTTGGTTTTCAGAATACTAACCATGTCCATTGCCGTGTCATATAATGACCATAAGGTCTTTCGAGTTTTGTCCGTGATATTTCTCTGGCTTTACGGTGTCTCTGTGCTAATAACCTTTATTCTCTCTCTCGGAAATAAACCCAAGGGCACTTCCAAGTTCTATCTGTCAACGTTCATTTTCTTTGCCGTCCTCATGGTGTACATGATATTCTGCGCCATTTTCATGAGTGTGCACTCGATTCGCAATATAATTGATGCTGGAAACGTCACATTCCGGAGCTTAATCCGACAGGAGACTTTCAGGGACCTAATAATATCGATGGGGTCGACTTATTGCCTTTATTTACTGAGCTCCTTGGTGTACTTGCACCCAACGCATATGTTCACAAGTTTTATGCAATATCTGCTTTTGAGCCCTTCGTACATCAATGTGCTGAACATTTACGCTTTTTGCAACGTTCACGATATTTCGTGGGGTACAAAAGGTTTCGCTGCGAAGCCGCTCGGCAAAATCCATTCTAAGGAAGACGGTACAGTTAAATTGGAAATTCCGGTGTCTGCAAAAGAAATCGATGATAATTACCTTAAGCACTGCGAGGTGTTGAAAACACCTGCTGCCGAAGAAAAAGATGATGAGCTTTCATTAGAGGAGAAAAAGACTAGTTACTACGCTATGGTGCGGTCCGTCGTGATCATCCTCTGGGTCATTTCAAATTTCATCATTGTGGCCGTTGTACTCGAAACAGGTGGAATTGGACAGTACGAATCATTGAACAATTCCAGCACGGCTACACAAACCACTGTGTCGATTCTGCCTCAGCGGTCTACGATATATTTCTCCGTCATTCTGTGGGTCGTGGCCTTCATGGCCGCATTCCGTTTCATTGGGTGTTGCGTGTACCTCACGAAGAGATTTATCCATCGCCTCAGGTCTCGGTCATGAATGGTGGTTAAAGGTACGAGCGCTGACTCGATGCAAACGAGGCTGGCTTATGAAGTCCCCACCAAAGACTTTGTCCGTCCCCGTCACATGGGTCTCTTTTACTGCCATTATATTCGTTTTCAAGGCTGATTGTCCGCCAAGCTCGAGAAGTACCAACTGTAGAGAAAAGACGTATAAACACACAAACGCCATCAGTCATGAAGATTGTGCTCCAAAAAGTCAGTCGTGCTTCTGTTACAGTTGATTCTCAAATCGTGTCTGCGTATGTCAATATTCCATAGACCTGCTCAATAAACGTCACGCTAACTTACCAAAATAGCATCAACACCGGCTTCATGCTCCTGGTGGGTATTTCCGTCGACGACGGTGACCAGGATATCGAGAAGCTTTCCAGAAAAGTGGTCTCACTGCGTGCTTTCGATGACAACGAAGGCTACGGATGGAAAAAAAACATACGTGAAGTGAATGGTCAGATTTTGTCAATTTCGCAGTTTACGCTGCTGGGACAGACGAAAAAGGGCACCAAGCCGGACTTCCACCAAGCCCAAAAGGGACATTTGGCCAAGGAGCTCTACGACAAGTTTCTAGGCCTATTGCGTCAAGAATTGGGCCAGGAAAACGTCAAAGATGGAGTTTTTGGTGCCATGATGAGTTGCGAGCTGGTCAACGAGGGACCAGTGACACTTATTTTAGACACGAAGGATTAGAGCTAAAAAGCTCTGATCTTTGGAGAAAGGTTTTTCATAGACCTGCTATCGCCGTCATGTGTTGTCCTTCGTAGCTTATCTCTGAAGATACCACTTTTTTACGATATATTAGATCTCGTAAGACTTGAAATAACTTACTTCAAAGAACGGACTTTTGACTATAAAGACACAACATAACAGCGTTTCAAATCATCTAACGCGGCTCTCATTGCGTGGTACTTGTAGCATTGAGAAATTCCGAATACTATGTGTCGTTTTTTAATTTTCAAAGGTATGTTTTAGCGGTATTCAAAGCCATTTGGGTGACTTTTTGATAGTATATTTCGCTATGCAGAATCACTAACTTTAGATTGTGTTTACAGGCAAAGAACCGGTGCGTTTATCACACCTTTTGACTCGGCCTGCGCATTCGATCATCAAGCAGTCGTTTGACAGTCGGCTGCGGCTTGATACCAGAAGACCTATTAATGGTGATGGGTTTGGATTGGCATACTACTCTGCAGACGAAGAACTCGAAGAAGATGGGCCCTGCATTTTCAAAGCCATCACACCTGCCTGGAATAACCAAAATCTAGATGTGCTTGCCGAGAAGACCAAATCTGCGCTAGTTTTTGCGCATGTTCGGGCCTCGACATACGGTGTGCTCTCCGAGACTAACTGCCATCCGTTCACGTACCACCGCATCACCTTCATGCACAACGGCGGGATTTCCAACTTTCGCAAGATCAAGAGACGGTTTCTGGCTCATTTGGACGACGAGTACTTCAACTTAATCCAGGGCAGCACCGATTCCGAGTGTGCATTTGCGCTGTTCCTTGACACTCTGCACAAGATGGGCTGCAACACTTCTGACAAACGGGGCGATTTTGGACATGCTACGCTACGCAAATGTATGATGCAGACGATTGAGTACATAAAGGACTGGACCCGTGAGGCCAATGCGTCGGATCCCTGCGCAGAGCCTTCCATATTGAATTTTGCCGTTACCGACGGGGCCAGCGTCGTTGTTTCGCGGTATGTGACGTCCAAGACCGACGAAGCTGCGTCTCTACACTTTAGTTGCGGGTCACGCTTCGTCGAATCTGCGCCGGGCGAATATCGCATGGAACGTCTGGATAGAAACCAGGACGTTATCATGGTAGCGTCTGAGCCTCTCACATTCGAACGTGGTGACTGGACTACTGTGCCAACCAATAGCGTACTCACCATCAAGAATCAAACTGTTCTACTGCACCCTATCGTTGACGAATACTACCAAGAAGACCCATTATACATTCGCAGCTCATCACTCGCAGAAAGAAAGGGTCTTATGGGCTCTGTGCCGCTTTCGAAACCCTTGGAGCGGAACGTGCCACCGTTGGAGAGAGAAGGACGTTCTAGACCGCACACTTCTGCAGTTGGCGCGTGATTTAGAGCGGCAACTGGAGAAACTTTGTTCCATCTCTCATCTGGCAGGTGCACTCACTACTAACTTTTATTATAGATGGGCCAGACAAACAATCTCCTCAGTCAACTTGACTGACAGCTTACCTAAGCCTTGGCAATCGATAGGTCATGTGACAATTATTCATCAAGACAATTTAAATTGCGACTGATCCCTCAAACATGCGATGAGCAAAACATAAACCGTTTTGTTCACCCTATAACGTTTTATCTGCTGCGATATTTGCCTTGCTGCTAGACTCCTGAGTTTCCGGCTTTTCCACACAGTTCTCCGTTTTCGTTTCCGGATCCAACTGAGCCGCTGAGTAAGACAAACAAGGATGGTGTCAGTTTTTCAGACGGCTGCACACAGGAAAACGGCTGCAAGCAACAAGAACAACCACTGCGATATATGAAAAAGGACTAGTACATTCTTCAACGCATTAATTAACGCAAAAATGGGGGACCTGGATTTTGAGGTCGATAAATTTGGTCCAGTCAATTTTTGCAAGGATTGCTGTCGTTCGGTGTCAGGGGAGACCTGAGGAGGCTGGACCAAATGGGGGGAAGTTAAGGGACTGGCGGTTTTGACGTATATAAGACTACTTCTAAGACGTTGCATCGATGTTGGGTATTTGAATATCGGAACTTTAAAGTGTTCCGGAGTTTTACACAATTTTCCTTTTTTACACTAGGACTGTTGACCAACGACTGAATAAGAATGTCAGCGACAGATAATAACTATCGAAACGAAGTTGGTGGCACGGCTGCTGGAGGCCCGGTTGTCCCTGCTGCACACAATGACAATTACGAAACTGGGCATGGAGGTGGTAGCGGAAGCGGTGCGTTTGCAAACGAAGGCGAAAAACGCAAAACGAAAAAGGGAATTGCCATTTTTGGTCTTGCAGTGACGGACTTTATGTTGATCTCACTACGTTTCTGGCAGTTTGCCTGTAGTGTGATTGTCTTGGGGCTCTTGGCGTACGCTATGAAAAGTTACAATTACCATGGCAGCAAAAAGACCAATTACGGCTTGGCTGTTGGTGCCATTTCGACGTTTTACTTATTGATGCTATCGATACTGGGTCCCGCTTTGCACCGTTTTTTGATACCGGGACTATACTTAATCATGGAGTTGATTGTGACCCTCTTGTGGCTTGTGGCGTTTATCGTGCTGGCCAAGGCACACGGTTCCAGATCTTGCGGTCTTAGTACCAACAGCAGCTACCAGCCCAAATATGGGTCCTTTGGAGACTTCACCAACTCTGGTGGGATGTACGACCCTTACACGTCGAAATACACCACTAATCCGCACACCCGGGCATGCCACAGCTCCCAGGCGTCTATTGCCTTCGCAGGGTTGGCGTTTATCTTGTTTGCGATTAGCAGCATTTTGATAGGGTTGCTCGTAATGAAGCCCCTCACCTACAGAGGCGGAGGTTCCAAGGCTTTATGGACGCCCTACTCCAACTCTGGATTGAAACTCAACCCTTGGACCGGTCTAAGAGTCAGCGACGCCAACCGCAACGATGCGGAGGCCTTGGCAAACAACAGAGGTGGCAACAACACGGGTGCAGGAGCAGGCGTGGGTCAGGACCAGCACACTTTCTCTACGGGCGATTCCACCTATAACGGTGCACACCACGACAAAATGGTGGACTCTGACCACAGACGTAATGTGTCTGGAGCCACTGATCTGGAACCAGGGGTCAATAACCCTACCTATAACGCTAATTCCGCAGCCACTGGTGCTGCTAATACCAATGCAACGCATAATACCACCTATGCCACACATGAACCGATTGTCACGGATCCTTCCCCCAACGCGGCCCCCAACGCGGCCACGACCACTGCTAACCGTATTTAGCCGTGCTCGCGTGTGTTTAGGAACAAAAAGATGTTTCCTCGAAAAGCTACAGAGGCTAAAATGACAATTTTCCATCTAATAAGACATAACAATTTGACGACAACCGCTTCTAACAAGTTTAGGTGCACTACTACTACGATTTACAACTCAAGAACTGGAATCCAGTTTCTCAGGTAAGCTTCTGTAAAAAAAACGTACGAGAGTGGTTTGCCAGTATTAGTGAGCGCACTATGTAGGTGAGTATCGTTAAAGTTCGTAATAATGCTATATGACGACGTATTGAAGATGAAGGGTGTATATGACTCTGTGTTTCGTATGTAGTGATGTGTGAAAGAGGTATATAAGTTCGAGAGCTTGGCGGCTAAGTAACTTGATCCTTTACGTGTCACTTTTGGAAGTGGAGAGAGTTCGAAATTTGAGAAAGGGGCTGGAGGCAGAGGTAGCCGACATTGATGAGCTGAAGAGGGGTTCTTTTTGAATGTACATGGAGTTGTAAATGGACAAAAACTTAGCCCGCATTTTTAGGCTGTTGTTGGATATGGGAGGACTTGATGAGTCACCATAAAACGTTTTGTGAGAAGTGCTACGTTCATCTTTCCCGTTGTGATCGGGCGAACTACCTGATTGCAATCATGTTATGATAGTGTGTTAAGAAAACACTACTCGTGTGTGAGAGCAGCTTACGAATTTGACATCGTTAGTTGCGATTGAAATCGACAAACTGAGATTGACAAAAATAACGGGGTGAATCTACACAAGTCAGGCCATTACATTCTCAAATCCCAAGACCAGTCATCTTACACTACTCTCTCCCTCTTACTGAACGCATCTTTACGGGTCATTACAAACGAAGCCAGATACCCAAGGCTTGCAATGAGAGAGTCTTTTAAGGCGTCTAGAGCCATTTACCCTCAACCCAAGACAAGGCTCCCTTCGTTGCAAATCCCGACCTTCCGGGGTTGTTGTTCTTTTTCCTAACTCTTCGAGTATTTTTCATCATCTCGTTCCAGTTACTGACAACCAGCAGATAAGGACGGATGCTAATATTACCGTGTTACCATGCCAGACATTGTCATCTGCGTAAACTACTAGGCAAGGTACGTTGTGGACTATTTGAGTCCCGCAAACGAAAATATCCGCACTTGGTTTAACAACATACCCATGCGTGTGTACCCTTTGGAATGTCAACAATACTCACATGTGTGCGCCACGCCACGGTAGTAGCAGCTGGGATAGACAAAAAAAAAAAAAAAAAAACGGCTCTGGTTGGTTTAAAAATATTTAGTAAGAAAGCGTGAACACGGCGTGAGTGATTACTTCTACCAAGAGGGAATTTCTCTCTCCGCGACCGACGGCGACAAAACTGCAAAAATTCTGCGGATAGTGATATCCGTGTTGAACCGAGATTGAAAATGTCGCTTCTTTAAAAGGAGCATGTTTTTGGAATGAAAAACAAAGAAGTTATTGTTCCTGGCAGCCAGTTTTTCAGGAAAATAGGCCGGGAAGGACAAAAAAAAGGTACAACACAGCTGAAAGACCACACTCTTTGAGCTGATATTTTACACACCTATACGATAGAGAAAAATCATTACGGAGCAAAGCTACTTACTGAGTAGCTGTTAAAAACCCACGATTGTATCTTCGTTTGTATTCCAAATTTCAACCTTCTTTGCTTGCCTCGTTGTGTGAAAAAGGAGTTTTTTTCTTGAAAACATGAAGGTTACTGCGGGATTGGCCTTTGGGGCCTTGACTGTGCTGTCGTCTGTTGTTGCTGCTGCTGAGGCCAGCGACTACCACACTACCACTGTGACGACGACCCACGGAACCCACAAGTACGGCAAGTTCAACAAGACTCACCGTTCTGAGGAGCCAAAGAACACTGGTACCCACAAGTACGGTAAGTTCAACAAGACCCATCGTTCTCAGGAGCCAAAGTCTACTGGAACTCACAAGTACGGTAAGTTCAACAAGACCCATCGTTCTCAGGAGCCAAAGTCTACTGGTACCCATAAGTACGGCAAGTTCAACAAGACTCACCGTTCCCAGGAGCCAAAGACCACTGGTACCCACAAGTACGGAAAGTTCAACAAGACGCACCGTTCTCAGGAGCCAAAGACTACTGGTACCCACAAGTACGGAAAGTTCAACAAGACCCACAACCCTACCTCGACCGTTTACGAGAAGGCTGCCACTGCGAACGCTGCTCCAGCCGGCTTCGACGGTGCCCAAAAGTTGATGGGTTTGACCGGCGGTTCCGCCGCTGTTCTTGGTGCCCTCATGCTATTGTGAAGGGCAAGCCAATTAAGATTAAAAATTACTAGCGCGTGCCAATACTCAAAGTGTGATTTGTAATGCCTTGCGCGGAAAATGTGTGTGATTTTTCTGCGCATTGGTATTACCATAGTTGAAACTTTGTGTGCGTGTGTGTGTGCGTGTGTTTGTGTGTGTGTGTGTGTGTGTGTGTGTGTGTTTTTGTGTGTGTGCGAATCAATGTGCGTGTGTGTTGCACGTTGATGAGCGCCTCCATTTCCACTGCGTGTTTAAAGGTGTGTGTCGACCAGTGTGTTTGCCAGTGCTTGTCCTTCCGTCCTAGATTCCCTCCAAAACTTTTATATCCTTATATCTCTAATAGATGTGTATCGAAGCCTCTAAGATCCAAGAGCTGTCCTCGAAAGGACGGTGAACAATTTAGTACTGCTACAGTGGTGCTGGATGATGGTGAGGTTAAGCCTTGATATCAGGAGTAGAAAAGTATGAACAACTGTAGGTTCCACATCCATGTAGAATATATTTCATTAACCTAGAGAATCGAGAAGTCCACTCAAAAACCACCAAAAAAACACCAAATTACACCAAAATACTTCTAAAAATTGCAACTAAACGTAAAAGGTCGATAGTTCGTAATACAGACCTTATTAGACCGTTACTTCCCCACATTTAAATGGCTTTCTTGTTATGATGATTGTCTGTCTTTGATGAATATCTGGCATCCCAACGACACACCCGTCCATAATGATCTTTCCCATAATGAACGAAAATTTTGTAAAATTGCAACATTCAAACCTATCCTTCTACAATATCGAACTTAAACATAGATTGTAAAGACCCCGTTCAGACCTTCATTCGAGTCTACCACTATCATCATCAACACAATGGACGGCGATTCATCATCCTCCAACAAGTTTGTCCCGGAATACAGACGCACCAACTTCAAAAATAAAGGACGGTTCTCTGCCGATGAGTTACGTCGTCGCAGAGATACGCAACAAGTAGAGCTAAGAAAGGCCAAAAGAGACGAAGCATTGGCTAAAAGAAGAAATTTCAATGCACCAGCCGGCGGAGCGGAGTCTGAGGATGAAGACGAGGCTACCAGCTCTGCAGACCAACAGTTTTACACACAGCTACAGCAGGAATTACCTCAAATGATTCAGCAGATCAACTCCGCGGATTTGCAAGAACAACTCAACGCAACGGTCAAGTTTCGCCAAATTTTGTCGCGTGAACACCGGCCACCGATCGATACGGTGATTCAATCTGGTGTGGTGCCTAATTTGGTTAATTTCATGAACGAAAATCAGCCAGAAATGTTGCAGTTGGAAGCTGCTTGGGCTCTTACAAACATCGCGTCCGGCTCTTCGGACCAGACAAAAATAGTGGTGGAAGCTGGAGCCGTGCCTCTTTTCATCCAGTTGCTGTACTCGGGATCCGTAGAGGTCAAAGAACAAGCAATTTGGGCACTGGGTAACGTGGCTGGTGACTCCACAGGCTACAGAGACTATGTTTTGAGCTGCGGTGCAATGCAACCTATTCTGTCGCTTTTCGATCTGAGCAAAACCTCGCTGATTAGAACCGCAACTTGGACTTTATCCAACTTGTGCAGAGGTAAAAAACCACAACCAGACTGGTCCGTTGTCTCCCAATCGCTGCCCACTCTTGCGAAGCTCATCTATTCCATGGACACAGAAACGCTCGTGGACGCCAGTTGGGCCATCTCGTATCTCTCCGATGGGCCCGCCAACAACATTCAAGCGGTCATCGATGCCAGAATTCCCAAGAGACTGGTGGAACTCTTGAACCATCAATCCACACTGGTTCAAACACCAGCTCTGAGAGCTGTTGGTAACATTGTGACCGGAAACGACCTGCAAACCCAAGTGGTTATTAATAGCGGTGTTTTGGGCGCACTAAGGAACTTGCTTACCTCCACGAAGGAATCCATTCGCAAAGAAGCGTGCTGGACAATTTCCAATATCACAGCGGGCAATACCGATCAGATTCAAGCTGCCATTGACGCCAATTTGATACCCCCATTGGTCAAGCTTTTGGACGTTGCAGACTACAAGACGAAAAAAGAGGCCTGTTGGGCCATTTCTAATGCATCTTCTGGAGGATTGCAAAAGCCCGACATTATTCATTACCTTGTTTCCCAAGGATGCATAAAGCCCTTGTGCGACTTGCTGGATATTGCCGATAACAGAATCATCGAAGTTACGCTGGACGCCTTGGAAAACATATTGAAAATGGGTGAAGCCGATAAAGAAGCTCGTGGGTTGCATATTAACGAAAACGCCGACTACATAGAGCGTGCTGGCGGCGTTGAGAAGATTTTCAAATGTCAGCAAAATGAAAACGAAAAAATTTACGAAAAGGCATTCAACATTATCGAACAGTACTTTGGTGAGGACGACGATGCTCTCGACGAAAGCATGATTCCACAGAGCGCAGGCAACACTTTTGGATTCGGTTCCAACGTAAACCAGCAGTTCAACTTCAACTAATATTATCTGCTGTTAACCTCTAATATATCGATCCTGCTATACACCACCAATTCCGAATTTTATATAAAGACAGGTAAACCACCAAACAATTTTCTGGGAGTTCTATAATTGTTCAGATTTGCAACTTCGAGTCGGCATTTTGTAGCAACTCAAGTGCCACCTCAATTGATGTCTAGTCTTCTTGCTGATTGACTTCAATTATACCAGGTCAAAGTTCATTGATTGATTGATGATAGATGAACCTAGTTCGAAATCTTGAACACAACTTTTGACAACAATAACAACAACAATAATCAAGCCTTAATCTTAATCTTGGTGTTGAGCGCTACTTTCTAATACTTTTGAGTTCTTCCTCGAATGAATGAATTCCTCAAACCTCAACCAGTCCCACCTTCCATCATATGAAAACCGATTGGCAAGTGAATCTCGAATCGCTAGAATCAACGAAATCTACAATCGAAGTCATAAACAGGACTCACAGAAGCATAGGGACTCTATAATATCGGATAATTCTACGTCAGTTGTCTCTGACTTACACGATGGTCCCTATTTGCAAGAAAGCCAACCGGTTGTTGACCTGAACTACAGACAGCAAGAGTTTCTGGATAAAAGGCCCACCAACAACATTGAAGCACCTGAATTCAGCACCATCAAATTAGAAGACGGTTTCAATCCTTTCAGGCCAAGATTTACAGAGGTGAGACCACGTTCAAAGGACGAAATGGAGCAGGAACTGCATTTTACACCAAAACTGCGATCCAGAAGAAGTATAATATTCTCCAGAACACCGAGCAACGACATCCCAGTAAGAGAGGAAGCCCTGCACCTTTTCAAAAATCGAAATCGGCATTTTTCTTCTGACATCGGAAAAAATGAGTCTACCACGTCTGCTAAGTCTCGAGAAAGCTTCAAAGAACTGAAAGCCAGACTGGGCAAACCTCTCCCGCTAGGATATCTGTCCTCTTCGTCTGAAAACCATGAAGAAAATCCAGAATCACACAAGAAAGCAGTCAAACCTCGCTGGAAACGTATCTTGTCCAGTTCCGAAAAGCGGCCGGATTGGACAACGTTACAGGACCGAATCCGTTCACCGTCAGATCACGGTAGCATTAGGATGCACGCTTCCGACTCAGAAATGTCACTTGCGGGACTGTTGGGTGACGATGAGGATAGAGCGAATGATGGAGCGGCAGCAGACCCTTCTAAACTCGTGGTTGATGAAGAGCACTTCGAGACAATCAATGAAAACCTTCGAACCAACACTGAAAAGCTGGATCAGATTATGACCATTCTGGATGAGAGAAGCCAAAATAACGGTAAACTTGAGGCGGTAGCATGGGTTACCTGTATTATAATTCTAGTTTTGCTCAATGTATTTCTGAGCAATGTGTAGTATACAAAGTTAGAGGACCGGGAAGGTGTAATATACAAGGCGGAAGGCATTTCTATCTACAGGGGCTTCGAGCTAGTTTCTGTTTGTTGTAAAGAAACCTTGATGGCTATTCACTCATCAAAGTCGTTTTTGGGAGGTGTAGTGTGCTCCTGTCGCATGTACAGGTCGATGGCAGTGGAAAATGCTGCGAAACCTGCACAACCAACCAAAGCTGCTGTCGGACCACTTTTATAAGCGAGACCACCACCAGTGAGGCAACCAGCACCAACACCATTGTAGATGTCGTTTTTGGCCCTCAGAGACTCTATAGCACACTCGACACCAGAGTAAATCATACCGATGTAACCGAAGTTCTTCGCGCTGGAATAAGCTCTTTTTCCCATGTCTGCAAACTGCAGCTTAACCTGTTGCTTGAATGGTAGATCAGAGATATGCTGTAAGCTGTTGGGCAGTTGGGTTGATCCCGGTACAGTGGGTGTGTGCAGAGGAGTGTCGTAAGCCATGGAAGCCATGAAAAGACCAAAAACACCACCAAGAGCGAAACCCGTAACACCACTGATGGCAGATTTACCGGGACAAGACGTCATAAAGCTTATCATCATCTCAGCGCCCTTATCACCTTGTTCTTCGGGCGTCATCTCATTGAAAGGCTTGTTACTCGGAGGTGACACTTGCTCGAGGCCAAATCCACGGTAAACCATCGTTCAAAATCCTTGAGAGTGTAGTTTGATGCCTAGAGTATGTTGAGCTAATTAAAACTGATCAAGGACGATTGTACTACTCCTAAACCTGCCTTTTTTGGTGCTCTTCGCACAACGAGTTAAACTTATTTGAAAAATTATATTAGTGTTCAAGCTCATCGCTTCGAGTGGAGGACGATGATGTTGTTCTAAAGACACGGTAAAATGAACTTATGAGTCCATTGAATATCGTAAATGACACTAGAGATACCTTTCATGGGCGGGACGTTTTTCAAGCGTGGAAAAAGGAGGAATTTTGGTGGAATCGGACTACTTGTAATCAAGGTTACGAGTTCCCGGCGTTGGAACGCTCCAAGTATGAGAAAGAGACCGAAAAGAAGAATTTGAATACACATATCAGTCAAGAAGATCCTACTATTTGTTTAGACTTAAATTGGTCACCAGATGGCACTTCTGTGGTGGCTATTTTCAACGATTACGGAATCCGACAGTATTTGATTCCGGAGGAGCCTGGCGCCGCACTTGTACCGTTCAAACGGTTCTTTAGAGGGCAGTCTATTGTAGCGAGCTGTGTCCATCCTTATTACTCAATGTTTGGCGGAAATGAAGGAGTGAACGTAATTCTTGTATCTTCCAAAGATCTGCCCATCCAACTCTTCTCGTTGTCTCCTCATGTCACGGAGCACAATCCGCTTTTCAGTTATTCCGTAGTCAATCCTGACAATGAAAGTTACGAAAAGATGTTCGCACTTAGCTTTTTTTTGAAGTCCGGATTTTTGGCAGGCGCATCGCGAAACAAAGTGTCGGCATACGATTTGAACCGCAAGATTCCGCTTTGGACGGCTTCGATTTCTAGCAAAAATAGCGGCCATCGAAGCATAGTCTCGTGCTTCGATCAAGGAAACGATCTGTTGGCCTCTTCATTCCGGTATGGTGCAACATACAAGAATGACATATTTGGAATCGACACTAGATCAAAAACCCTATTGCCACAAGCCGACAGGAAATCATTGGGAGTTGAAAAGGGCAATTGTGGCATTGTGCAGGTAATCCAGAGTGTGAATCAGCATTTTCTGTATGTTGTGAAGAGAAATAGCGACATCATTGACATCTTGGATGTTCGAAAAGGCTTATCGAAAATCAATGAACTAGTGCTGCCCTTCAAGCTGGGCTCTCAAAAGTTCAAGGCTTCGTTGGATTCAACCAATGGTCTTTTGATAGGAACTGCAGATGGCAGGGTTCTGCAATGGTCCAGCGATGTGATTGAATTCGGTGGACTTATTAGGACGAAAAGTTCGATAGGATTATCGCATTTGACACCAGACATTGAGCACAATTTTGATAACTTAGAGACTAGAATCAACATCGTTGCATCGAATCCATCGAATCCAGACCTTTTAGCTTCTTCGTACTCGCCTGATAAATTTGAAGAGGGCGGAGAACCCATGTCGGGAATCACTTTATTCAATTTGTAGGACTATTTTGCCAAGATCATAATGTGAAAGCGTCTCTGTAATATCGGAGACGTTGGTATTCTTGAAGTTTTAACAAATGAAGCTTCTTTCGTTGCATTCGAATTTCTGAAGCTAAAGCAGTTTCCTGAGAAACTTGGTCCGACACGGGAACAACCTCATCATCTGTTGGTCTCACGAGAAGGCTGCTTTGAGTGCTCAGTTGTCGTTTCAAGTGCAAGCTCGTCATATCAACATCGCTTCTTTCATTATCATCAACAGCGCTCGAGACTGAACTATTTCCTGTTGAAGAGACGGAAACAAAAGAGGAGCCGCCTCTCATCTCTACGTCCTTGTCATCTTCGGCAATCATGGGTTGCGAGGGCGGAGCATTGAGGATGAATTGACTAGAAGCTGACAACTTTTGATAGTTGTGCCAATTCTTGATGCATTCCAAAAGGTGCTCTAAAGGCCCTTCACTTTCAGGACAATCTTGAATGGGCTTGTCTTGCCTCAATTCCAGTCGCTGCAGAGATTCGTCGGCACCGGTCCCACAGATCTCAAGTTCCAATTCGTAGTATCTAGAGAAATGGTGTCCGTACTTTTCGCGATCCCTTGCAGCAACCCCTGCGGGAGCTTCGAACCCAGACGATGAATCCGCAGTAGGAATCGTTCTGAAGGCTCCTATGGACAGCCTTTTCTCTTCCAACGTTTTCTTAGGGTCTACCACCACTGCCACATACGGATCTTGGTACGTTTGGTTCAACTCTTGCGTTTGAACATCTATGCCACTCAGCCAGCACCCGTATCCCGGATGAGAATGGTACCAGCCCACAATATGGAACTTTTCAGGTCGGGAGTCATACACTTCGTTCATGTATTGTACCATGTATTCGTAGGATTCTAATTGAGCATTGACTCGAGTCTCTGTGCCCTCTACAGGTAAGGCATAGGAATCATATACTACCACATTTCTCGTTTGCACTGTTCCCACTAGCATCCCCATTATTTCTGCATCTTTGCCATTCACAGCATGCTGCAAAATCTTGTAGGAAGCTTGCTTAGAAAGTAGGACCTTTTTGAAGTAAAGGCCTTCATCTTTCCAAGGTTCGTCAGTATACGGCTTCTCATTGACTGTTCGGATGAGGTGCTCTGATATTGCTTTATGTTTCTGTAATGAAAGTCCAGAGCCCTGGGGGGATATTCCGGGATGTGCAAGACCGTTAGCCCGCTTTAAAGAGTCAGCACACTGCTCTATTTCGTCTCTTAAACCTTTGCAAGTGATCTCCTGGTGAGCCATTCTTGATCTTGTTTCTTTCGCTAGTTGCACCTTGTTCCAACCAGCAAGCTATCACACCAGAATTCCTCAGTTTATCCTAGATGTACCTGATCCTAAGTTCATTCTAGAAAAGTTCATGTATCATACCAACTTTTCGAAATTCCCCACTTAAACTACATATGTTTGTCCCTGCACACTGTATTTAGACTACTTGAACCCTCTTGCCTCTCTCTTGAGTTCACCGATGTACTCTAAAAACTTACCAATGTTCACGTCAATTCCGTAACTGTAAACATAAGAACTGGACAAGTAACTGGACAGTAAAGCTTTCAAGTACGACTCTGGGATATTTCCAAGCACTTGTTCAGGACCAGCAACATCGATCAATAGAGCAGGGATGATCTTTTTCAGCAATAGATAGTTGCGAAGCTCAAGATCATTCATCCATAGCTCATTCGAGATAATGAGCTCATCGTTCAGTTTATTAATCGTTTGTGAGAGGACATTGGATAGCTCAGAGATGGAAGTGCCGGAGGTCTGCTTCAGTGGCCATAACTGGTCAAACTCTGCTCTTGCATTTTTTTCAACCTTGCCTTGAATGAACTTGACATAATCGTCATAGAGCCTAGTGGTTTTGCCAGGAGTTTTTCCAATGAACTTGTGAATAAAATCATGGTCATTCAAAGCCAACGACGCCAAAACCTCCAGGGAAGACGATGTGACACCTCCCTTATTAGTGGAAGCATCCTTGAACAAAATGCACCCATGCTCTTCTAATGCAATTTTGGCAGGTTGCGTGATGAAAAGGTTGGCACCCTCAACAATGAAGGGGATTTTGCACTTGCCTGTTTTCGCATCGATGAAATAGTGCAGAACATTGATGTCGATCGAATTAGGCCTGCCTCCACAAGGGACAAACAAATCCACCTTTTCCACGAATTTGAAAAGCTCCAGGTGGAATCTGTTTCTGAAAGTCGTACCGTTGGCTACTACAACACCATTTGGTAACTTAGCATCAATGTCCTCTACAGAAACAAAGAAACCCTGGCTACTCAGTTTAGAAGTGTCATATTCGGAAATAGTGCTTCTCTTGATGGCCAAAGTCCTGAGTGACTCTTGGTCAAGGCCCTTAGGATCGCACAAAACACCCGACCCATCGACAATAGCAACGTATTGTTCGTTGGATGACGACAGTAGAATCTCGTTGGATCCCAGATCACCATCGGGTCCACCGGTCTGGAACTTGTTGACGGTTGTGTTCTGTAATCCAAGTGTCTCATAAATGGCATTGACATAAGATCTGACACTCAATGATGTCATACCATAGACATCATGAGGAATCCCTCCCATGGTTGGGGACTTACCTGTCAAAAATGACTTCCACCAAGGGCATCCTCTGCTTTTGGCGTGTGAAGTAGCCCAATCGACAAACGTGGCAGTCCCCTCGTCAGGTCCAAAGAACAGTATTTCTTGCTGGTTCAACCTATCGACATACTTCTCTTTCAATGGATCTTGAATCAAGATATCAATAATGGCATCCACGTACTGCGTAAACGCGACGAACGTTTGTTTCTGTGATGTGAGTGTTGGATTCAAAAGAATCACACCTTTAGAACCACCTTCAGGTATATCCTTATTCTTACGTTGTTGAGTAGAAGCCAGCTGATAATTCTCATCGATAGCCATCTTGGAATTGACTTCGTAGATGTCCTGTGTCTTTGAACAAACGATACGAATACCACCCCTGGCGATATCTCTAAACCGAATGTGGAAAGCTTTGAAGGTATTACCAACAACAAAAAATACACCGTAGGGTGTTTCTGGAAATTCAGTTTCCGGCATAATCAACTTTGGGTTTAGCCTAAACGATATTGCTACCTTTCTCGTCATAAAGAAATTGGTTTTTAGCACAGCTTTGTTAAACTTAGCTAGTGTCTGCAAGATCAGTATGTCCGGCGAGTCGTTGGGGATAAACCTATTGAGGTACTGTTCGAACTCTTCATCGTTGGCAAAGGGTTCGAGCTGTGATAGTCTTTGATAAGACAAGGTTTTCCCAAACCCATGACGAGCAGACGAAACATAGTGAACTTGAGCGAAATTCTTGTAAAGCTTGGAAACGATATCTTTATACTTGTGCAAGACTTCAATAATCATTTGCTGCGTGTAGGTCTCATTTCTCAATTTTTTCTTCAGTCCATCCAAAACCTCGAGCATAGAGGTATTGTTTGTTATGGAGGACAAATTCACTTGACTCACCAAGTCCTGATATTCATCACCGAGCCTGTTGATGAAGTTGTTGATGAAAATGGCACCAATATGGGCATAGATAGCTTCTTGTGGCGAGAAGCTTCTCTGCTGATACAGATCCTGAAAATAGTTGCTCGGGATCGAATACAGCAAAGAGGCTTCTCTTTCAAATTGAAGAATCGACATTGAAAGACTGTTCAAGACGTCTTCGGACTGTTGCGATTGTTTAACATAAACCGAGTAAATCATGACGTCGTTAGCGAAGGTTTCCAAATACACTTTGGAAGGCTTGAGGTGGTAGTAATGCAGCAATGATGACAATGCCGTATAATAGCTCTTTGTAGTACCGCGTTTGAAGCCCACAACTATACGCACCTCGTCTGGATCTGCGACGGAATTGAGAGTTTTTATGATAGGTCCCTCACGCTGACGCATTTGTTGCATAATCAACCCATATAGTTTTTTGTTTTCTCTAGAAGTGACCTGAGACATGGTGAGATCGCTAATAGCATCAATCTCACCTTTCGCTAGTTGTTCTGGCGTGAGTTTGGGGCCTGCAGCTGGATCATGGGCAAAAACTGTGCGGTACACAAATGTGAGCTTCAAGTTATTTTCTGCCGTGTAAGAGATCAGTCTGTAGCGGTTTTTAGAGCTATCCAGTAAGAGGGAGTCGATTTTGGCGTCGAGTTGGTGGCCTGTTTCCATGAAAACCGAATGTGTGTCGGTGATCACTTGGGTCTTGACGGAAAACCCGCTTGACTGCGTATTGTCTGTAGGGGAACCCGATGGAACAGGTTTTTGTTGGTCGTCATCGCCAGTGGTGGCAGTGGTGATGGCGTGGCCTGCGAAATTGAATCTGGCAAAGGACTCGACTTTTGCGGCGTACAACGTATGAATGATATTTGCGATCATTTCCGGCGATTCTTTCGAGAAGAACAGATCGTCGATTCCCAGTGCGTCGTAAAACCATTCGATTTCGTGTTCCACCACATCGTCCGGGATAAAACCTTGTTGGTCGATGAGATCCAGCACTGCTTCACGTTGAGCGTCCTTCCCCGGAAAATCGAAGTTGTGGTAATCTGACATTGACGAAATCGACAATGTAGAGATATCTGGCTCTTGCGAGCTATTGACAGAAAGCATTGTTGGTGGTGACGGGATAGCGCTTTGTGTTGTTGAAAAGCGTCGGTTTGACTGGGTAAAACAAAACCTCTGGAGCAATAGGTTCTAGTCCGAGCGGTATTCCTCTTGTATTTATAGGGAAATAGTCACTTTTGTGTGGTCTTGTCACCAAATAAGTGTGTGACGCCGTACACTCTGTAGGAAAGGGGCTGTAGTGTCAGAAAAGGAAACGAACACACAATTAGACTGAACCAATTGCAACTAGTTGTGACGATGCCGTGTATTCAAGCAAATCACGAGTCCTGCTTATTTTGCGGATTGTGAGATGATCTCAAGTAAGTGACACACATCGCAACCTTTTCCATATGAGATCTCCTTATGTACTTATACTGATACTAAACGAATACAAATAACGAAGAGACGAAGAGAACCTAGATTTATTGATGTGCGGCATCTCGAGACGAAGTGACTCAAGTTGGTGATGATGCGCCTCGATATTCCCCATAACAAGTGTGTATAAAACTCGCTATCTTACTGTTTATTTAGATGAACTTTCAACGTTGATAGTAGACGAGATAGAAGAGAAACCTGAGATTCAAAACAAACCGGGCGTCAATAAAAGAGAGACGCCTAGATCTGGACAAGATGCAGTGGGAAACTGAGTTGTCATTAGGGCCATAGATGCTAATCGAGAGGTTGTTGTAATTGAGAGATTCTCAGATAAGAATGTTGATTGTTTGTAGTCTAAATTGGATAATCGACGGTGTGTTTATGTGCATTAGTACGAAGCTCTTTAAATTCCAATAAGTTTTTCCCAGTGGTCTAGATCATCCATCATCAATCAGTGTTTACATAAACATTAGATAGCGGATACCGATGTACGGCGCTGTGGCTGTGATGGAAAAGTGTGGCTTGCCAAAACACACGTGACTCTATCGTGAGTCGTGATATACGTGTATAGTGATTTGTTTTGTGTCACATGACTATTTCGTTTATGGTGATCTGTGAGGGTTTGTTCGTTCATAGTGATCTTGGTTTCTACAAATGTTTACCCCAAAAAAATTAAAAATCGCATCCCTGGTTAGCCCTATCGTCTGAACAATTCCCACTACCCATATTCTCTAGCTACTACTTGCACATACGTCTGCGGACTTCTAACGCTTGCGTCTTTCAGATCCCCTTCCTTTCACACTCTTTTTTGTTTTGAAAAATTTAACGTAGTTTCTACAGAAACCCATCGCTTGAAAAACTTCGTATGCTATTAACAAACTCAATAAATCATCGAAACTTCGATCTTAATAGCGGCCAGCTCCAGACAAAAACTCACGCGTCGTCTCCCTTTGCACCTTACAGAGGTATGGAAAAGCGGGATATAGCTCAACCAGTGGTGGATAGAATCCTAGCAAACCCATTACAATTTCAAACGGCTTCAAAACCTGATTTCGAAGACGTTAATAGTGGGTCTTCGTACATAGTGATCGGGCACACAGCATATCCATCGTCATCATCAGATCGAGCGATGAGATCAGGTAACCAGAAAGATGCAGAAGCAAGGGTTGTTGGTCAGAATCAAGAACGGTATTCGTCGGCCAAGGCCGAACCTTGGAAACCCATGCCTCGCAGTTTTTCAGAGGCTCTTGAAATGTACACTGCGAAAAAACCAAAAAAAGACGTTGCTAATGGGAGAGATGAAGAGCTGAGCGACCAAGGGTATGTGAGCTCGAGTTCAAATGAGGATTTTTCCAATGGCAAAGGTGGCAGACAAGAAACAGAGTCGTCAGGCAACTCTTCTGGAAATGATGAGTTCCATGAAGCTCAAGAATACGCCGAAAGTCCGGAAATAGAGAAAGGAGAGGAAAGTAGAGACGTTGGTGAGGACGTTGGAGAGGACATTGGAGAGGATCTTGGTGAAGATGTTGGAGAGGATGTTGATGAGGATGTTGATGAAGATGTTGGAGAAGATGTTGAAGACGATGTTGATGAGGACGTTAATGAGGACGTTAATGAAGATGTTGGGTTGGAAGTATCTGAAAATTCACACTCCCTAGGTAATTCGGACCAAACAGAAGACGAAGACTTTCAAGACGACGAAGATGCATTATCAGAATCAGAAGCGTCAGAAAGCGAAATCGCCGATAGTGAAAAACTGGGCCTCATACGTGAGGCTCAAGAATATGCTCAAATGGATGCTTCTGCCAAATCCGCAACCGCACCAAAAGAGGAAGAAGAAGAAGAAGCAGAAATTGATGCCGACTCAGAAGATCTCAAGCACAAAATACCACACAGCAAACGACCCTCACCTACTCCCCCTACCTTTCTCTCGGATATCGACCAATTTTATCAGTTCAACGAAGACTTTCGTGACCAGGGCTCTAACAATTCCAACCGCATTTTGAAAAATTGGGGACCACAGTTAACAAAAATGAGACCTAAGGGCCTTTTAAATCATGGCGTTACTTGCTACACAAACGCCGCGGTCCAAGCCTTGATTCATGTGCCCGCCATCCAACACTATCTATTTGACATCCTCCGCGGCCAATACAAATCCACCATAAAACCACAGTCCGTTTCTTACGTTCTTGCAGAAACCACCAAGAAAATGTGGTCATCGGAATCATCAAACGCCCAGTATATCAATCCAAAAAAACTGATTGGTAGACTGGACGATATCAACTGCATGATGAGCGAATGGCAGCAAGAAGATTCTCACGAATATTTCATGTCGTTGATGTCTAGGCTTCAAGAAGATGGCGTTCCTCGCGGTCACAAGTTGACAGAAAGTATAATACACGATATTTTTGGCGGATTACTGCGGCAAGAAGTGACGTGTAAAAGCTGCGGACAAGTATCTAAGACAGAACAACCAATTTATGACCTTTCGTTACATTTGAAAGGCAAAAAGCAAACGGAATCTACAGATAATGCGAAAATTGCACAAGCCTCGAACGAAGAACAACCCCAACGTCGTTTTTCGATAGAGAAATCCATTAGAGATTTTTTCAATTCTGAATTAATCAAGGCCGATAAAGCAACTAAGGAGGGATACTTTTGTGAGAAATGTCGGAAGACTACCAATGCGACCAAGCACAATTTTATCTTAAGAGCACCAGAAACTCTCCTAGTTCACTTGAAAAAATTCCGCTTTAACGGTACTTCGTCTTCAAAAATGAAGCAAGCGGTATCGTATCCTATGTTCTTGGATTTGACCGAGTATTGCGAAGATGCACTGAAAGCCGTTCCTCTGAAATACCAACTGATAAGCGTTGTTGTTCATGAAGGCCGTTCTCTGTCCTCAGGTCATTATATCTCCCATTGCAAGCAACCGGACGGTTCTTGGGTCACCTACGATGATGAGTATATCAACAAAATCTCCGACAGGCAGGTTTTGAAAGAGCCGGGTGCTTACTACTTGGTATACACCCGACTAACACATAAAAGCGTGCCATTGGCATCTAACTCAGACGCCTCGTCGTCCAAATTGGCTTCAACGTCGGGAAGCGAACCAAGCACTTGCGATACCAGCGCATTCAAGAAGAAAAAAAAGAACAAGGGCAAAAATAAAGCCAAGAAACGGCGTCTGGGCAACTAAATTTATTAGCATTTCCAGTGTAAGAATAGAATCTCACACCAACGACATTTTTTATCATTCATAAAGATGTACAATAGAATAGAGGAAGAAACTCTCGAACGTCACTAAAATATTTACACGCTAATTGACATTCATTTTTCTTTGAAAAGTGGGCCCTCACACATCAAAGGTTTCAAGGGCCATGCTAATATTACTTTTAGGGTACCACGTTGATACCCATGCTCTTGGCTACTCCCACAACCGATTTTACAATGTTATTCATTTCCAGAGTTGAATGTCTGCCATCGCTTTTCTTGATCTTGGCAATCTCGTAGACATGTTTCAGTGAGATTTCTCCCAATGTGCCTGCTGCAGTTTTGACGTTGGGTTGTCCCATACCTTTTTCCTTACCTAGACTTTTCAGCAGCAAGTAACCGGTTGGTGGGGATTTCATTTCAAAGTTAAATGAGCGGTCTGGTTTTATCGTGATATATACTGGAACAGGAGTCCCTGGTTGGTAACTAGCTGTGCGTGCATTGAACTCTTTGCAGAAATCAATGGCTTTTATACCTTTTGAACCTAAAGCTGGACCAACAGGCGGAGAAGGAGCAGCCTGTCCAGCACCCACTATAAGCTTGACGAGAATATTCTTGATAGGCTTCGACATGGCTCAAAAAGCACGATCCTATGCTTCAAAGATGTACACTCATCGGGTGTTCTATCTATGCCTCTATATCTGTCTAAAATTTTCCAAAGCTAACATACAACTGTCGCGTCAGAATGGTAAAACATGACAAGCCTCCACGACAGCGACACAACTTTTCCTATCATCGAAGTCGAAGAGGACCACAGCGATAGTGATGTTTTAGGGACCGCCTTGAGACGGTGTTTCAGTGAACATACGGTACTGGACGCTTTAAGAAAACTTTGATATTCGAGTTTTATGAAGTCTAAGTTGCAAGCTCAAGGAAAATATGATTTTACTCGACTAAGTTAGCTTGAGCCAACGTAAAAAGCTAGTCCGGTTCGCCCAGGTTGAAAACAGAACTGTTTACAATCGATGCAATCTTATTTTTTTTGAGTAATAAACTACTACTGTTTTTACAAATCCGAAGACGTTATTAGAAGAATTCTTATCTCAGACAATCTCTTGTGACGCACGACTATACAGTCTTTGGGTGAGAGCGTTTGATGATTTCCGGCGATCAAATGAAGGAAGATCTAATTCGATGACAAGAAACGAGTATCGCAGCAGCACGGCAAACATTGAGAAAAATGGGTCTGACAGTCATGTCATGTTCTCGCTCTTAACGATTCTGTTTCTTCTTCTTCTTTTCAAGACCGGCGATGTGGGCCTCGCTTTGGTCGACCTGTGTATGTTTGTGGTTGGTGCCACATATTATTTTAGTGGAGAAGCCGTCGTCCATCACTTCACACATTTCGATAGCTTCGACCCATGGGTCGGCCATGATGTCTTCAATGCTGGCCCTACAGGCGGGAGCCAAATCGACCATACGCCCGATGATATGCTGGCATTCTTCGGGGAGAGAGTTCAACAATCTTTGTGGTCCCACGTTGGGATTGTTGGGGTCAGAGGGGTTGTTGCTGGAAGGAGCTGTTGTAGGACTGGCCACATTGGCGTTCTCGTTCAAGGCGTTGTCGTATGAGGGAGGCTCGAAGTCGTTGGGTCCAGGAGTTCGCACCACCAGGGCGCTCAAAGAATCACAATCTCTTCCCGAACAGAACAACTTGAATGAATTGTCTTTCAATTTAGGAACCTTCCAAGGGAACTTTTTGAGAACCATGCACGCAAAAATAATAGCCGCAGACCAGATATCAACGGGCCTAGGATCATACTTGGAGAAGATGCAAACCTCCGGCGCCAAATATGGATCGCTTCCAACAATGCCCGAAGATTCTACCAAGGTCTTGGAGAACGGATAAGAAAACACGGCAGCTGCGCCAAAATCAATCAATTTTACAATCCCATCTTTGTTTATTACGCAGTTGTCTAATTTCAAGTCTCTGTGAGCCAACCCCATAGAATGCAAATACTGAATACCCGTCAAGATTTGCTTGAAACAGCAACAGATTTCCTCGTGGGACATTTTGTTGCTCATGACAATTGCGAATAGATCGTAATCGCAGTATTCCATCACCTGTAGAATGCGACTGTTTTCGTACACTATCTCAATCGTCTCGATAATGTTTGGATGGCGTAAAGTCGTACCAATACAATATTCAGATGTTATTTTTTTGACATAGTCTCTCTTGAGTTCGTGCTCAAACTTGGTTCTAAACTCTTTGACAGCAACTGTTTTGTTGTCCGGGATTTTTTTGTATAGTTTCACAGCACCGCCGGCTCCAGCACCAAGATTCTCACCCGTTTTGGCGTACCTTTTTGAAAATGGAAGAGCTGGAGACGTTTGATTGGTGTATATGGTGTCTCCAGTACTACTGTAGGAACCAGGCTCGAAAGATGAGGTGTTTGAAGTGTGTGAGCTGATATTTCCACCAGCTGATACAGGAGGGGTACTTGGAGACCCACTTAGCTGCTGGGCCTGACCCTTCCGGAAGAATCTCTTGATATCTGCAAAAGAGGAATGACGTGATCTCGGTATGTATTGGTTAGGATGCTGTTCATGCAAAGAAGAAGGCGATCCGATGAACGAGTCCTGGTATGATCCCGATGGTTGCTTGGAGTTTCCATATAAGGAGCTGCGTCTTGCACGCATGGGTTTAGGGATGGAAGACCCGTACGCTGAAGACGGCTGCGAATTGGCCGGGATGTCTCTATTTTGGGATGCTTGAGTAGGAACTGTGATAGTGAGGTCTTTGGGATTTTTATTCAAAAAAAGGTTACCCAATTGCGACGAAATCGAGCTTGATCTCGGCACAGACCCCGTTTGGGAGCCCGAATACAGGTTAGCAGCGTTATTCTGGGATGCTTTTTGAAATTTTTGTTTGGATACAATGAATCGAGCCTCGACGTTATCGACTTTTGGCGACGATATGACGTTGCTATCGATGGCAGAAACGTTGTGCGGCATGAATCCATTGTTTTCAAGATACGACGACGACATTGAAGACGCAGAGCTGTTGGTAGCTGCACCTACGCTGTTGGGCCCTGCACCAAATCCCGTGCCGTTTCCGGCGTTGGAATTCGGTACGGAGTACGGTATGTTTGAGGAAAGGGACGGAATGGGCTTAGCTTTGCTCAATGATCCCACACTGAGTGATGATGGTGGTACTCCTGCTGGTGTTGGTGCTGCTGTTGCATGAACACCACCATCTGCAGCAATAGCGCCCCCACGTGACTCAACGCTAAGGGGAGCTGGCCGGTCCCGGTCTTTGAAACTTTCGCCAAAAGTCGCGGTGTGCGCCGAATTCGAGGCTATGAAGCTGGAACTGAAATCCGGAGTGTTACGGTCATCTTCCAGCTCCGATTCGAATCCTTTTTCCTCGGGAATACCCTCTGAAGCGCCCATGTTTGCCACCACCGGTTGTGCATTGCGCAGTTGCGTCGTTAACGATGCTCCTGAGCCCGAAGTGGCCTCATTTTTTCGCTTTTCTTGCAGCAGCTTGGTCAAAGATGACATCTTGGTTCTTTTCGCAAGCTTTTAAGCCCAGTATCGATACTTTCTGGTGCCCTTTTCAGTTATTTAAAAGATGATTGTTGCGTTTCGACACCTGTGTAATTTTTATGATTTCCAATTTCAAATTTCAACTGAGTTATTGGTGATAACGAACAGAGACATTTATTTCTCACCAGATGATAGATAAGAACTATTAAAACGGAATAGTTTTCACGCAAAATAGAACAGGAAATGAGGCTTTAAAAATAATTAGTTAAGACCAGTAGATTTCAAGCTTTCTATGGTAATTTTCAGCTTTCAAAACGGTTGAGTAGAAGAACTCTTGGTAGAATTGTATCTGTATGATGGAAATGATTTTAAAAACGGTCGTGAGACTTCAGCCAAGTCTGGTAGGTCTTGAAAAGGTCGACAAGACGTGTGGATTGAAGAATGGATAAAGATTCTTCAATGCAAGGGACACTTCGGAGTTTGAGTCGATATGATTGGCAGATATGAGCTGGTGTAGGTTCTTTCTTCGTGCGGAGTTGGGTAGATAGCGATTTGGCGCTTGAAGATAGGTTTGATCGTAGTGTAGTTGTGCGAGATTCTTGAATATACACCCGTCCTTGCTTCGTGACTTTAGTGACGTTCCATGTTCATGTTCATGTTCATGTTCATGTTCATGTTCATGTTTATTCAATTGGCATTGTAAGTCCAATACGCTCTGACATGTCAAAAACATAAAAAATTGGAAACCCGAACAAAGTTTTCGATTTAGAGTGACAGGACTAGCCTTTTTGTAATGATTCTAGTCTACGCTTACATACCTGTTTCCGATTGTCACCCCCACCACCTTTAAGGTCTGTCCCTCTCTTCCTCTCGTCCTCCTTCTATTGGATCAGTTTCATACGGTCCGGGTGAACGCCCGACGAAACACCATCCGATTGCACGTCCTTGGATGCTTTGGCCTTGCTGTCCTGAATCATTTTCGTGGTTCTGACCTTCCGCTCGTCGTCCATCTTCAAGTTCTTAGCCTTGAGCTTCTCCAATCGAGCCTGACTGTTACCACCACCGCCCACGGTGAGCTCAACGTTGATTTTCCGCCCTTGCATTTCCGTCTTGTGCTGCAACAACGCCACGTCCATGCGTGACTGGATGTTTTTCTGATCTTTGTCGGCATCAAACTCTAAAAATGCAATGTTCTTATCAGGTCTAACTCGGATCTCATCAGGCGAACTCGACTTGAAATGCGCTTGTATATCGACTTTGGTCACACCTTTCGGTAGATTACCCACAAATATCAAAAATCTGTTTCCCTTTTTGCCCTTGCCACCTTTGCCCCTCCGCGTCTTACGTTTCTTCTTTGGAACTTCTGCTTGATCTTCGCCATCTTTTTGTTCCGATTCTAGTGCTTCGTCCGCTGTTCGTTTTGCACTTTTTTCGTCTTCTTTGTCGTCTTTAGTCTTACGAAACTGTTGAGCCTTGAGCTGCTTCTTGGTAAGCTTCTTGTCGTCTACCATTGCAAGTTGATATCTTTGAATTGGCTATGGACAGGGCAAGATGTTTTGTTCAAGTAGCTTGAAAGAGATGCGATGAGATGCGATGAGATGAGATTCACTTAAAATTTTCCAAACTGAAAAACGTTAACTTTAGACTCAACAACTAAAACCGCCAACTTGATACTCGAGAAGCGATTCTGTAGCTCAATGGGTAGTGGTTTTATATTCTTGTCCAATGAGCTTTGAAATGAATAAGGTTGAACCGGCCCAAGCCTCTAATATCGAAGTTTTAGACACTTCTAAACAGTTAAATAGAAAAGTAGAAGACGAAGTGCCAAAGGGCGAGAAAAGCAGTCAAGCTAAGTCTTCAAATGAGCAAAAGGTGGCCTCCCAGGACTTAGCGTCATTGATGGGGTTTTCGGGATTCGAATCGACCAAAAACAAGAAAGTTCAGCCCAAAAAAGCGGGTGGTAAAATGGTCGAAAAGAAGGCCACCAAAAATGCAAAGTACAGACAATACGTCAACCGGAAAAACAAGAAGCTAGTGCAGTGAACCGATTCCAGTTTGTAAATCTTATTTGACGCAAACGAGCGGTTTATCAGTATGTTTTTTATGATAATCTCGACAGCCAGTTTAAAGCGACTTTACTCAAGATCTTGAGGTCGATGACAGCGTTTGATGCTCGCGTAACAGTTTGTCATACATTTCTCGCAGATCCCTGTACGCATCGGTGATCTCCGCCACATTAGCTCGCAGCTCCTGAATTTCTTGGTTGTTGTTAGAGCTTGCTACGTTTTCCCCGGCATCTACGCCGTCAGCTGCTGGCTTTGGTTCCGAGTTAACTTGGTCGACGATTTTCACAGTGGAAATAACGCTTCCCAGCTGCACAAAGGCACTCTCCTCTGAAGCAACTTGGTCGAGGTACGCCTCGAAGTCATCTATTGGAGCAACAGCAGGTTGTCTTTCAGCGGGGACTTGAAAGTAAACGTCTTGTGCCCCGTCACGAGTCGAAACACTTTTCTGGAGGTTTGGAAACTTGAACTCCGCATGCGACTTGCCTGTGCTGACAAGACTATCAGACGTATCTTGAGCGATGACGCTCAAATCCAAACTGGTAACCTCACCGCAAGTATCGTTAACAACAATTGATTGAATCTCCTTCATGGTTTGTTTGGAATACACGTCAATAACGCTGCATTTGCCCAAAGTGTCGCCGACGACCAAAGAGCTTCCATCCATAGAGATTGCCAATTGCGTTCCGCTGGCGTCTGAGATTTTAGGACACTCGATCTGGCCCATTGAATATAGTTCACGTAAGTTTCTTCCAGGTTGGCAATCCACACAAGATATAATCGCATTTTCTCCTCCACTCAAAAGATTGAGAATCTGATTCGAGCTTATGGAGTAGTAAAAGTTTATTTGGTAGACACCAAGTGGTCCTCCGACGTAGCATGCTCTGTCTGCTGGATCTAAAGCAATGCATTCCAAGGGCCCCGGGAACGTGAAAGTTGCTAAGAGCTGCGGTTGTGGCCAAACGTCTAGATTCAGATCGTAGCATCTCACGGTCATGTCGTGGGATACCGTGAACAGCTTGCCCGACAGATGCGTTTTGGAAAAAGCATTGGATACGCAGAAATCCGTGATTCCAAGTGTATGATCGTGCAACGTGAAAATGGGCTTTGGGTCCTGCTGTGTGACCAGGTCAACAGTTTGCCAAATCATCAGTCTTGCGTCTCCACCGGCCGTGATCACGTATTTCCCGTTGAAGACCGATTTAATCTTAGTAATCGGCTGATAGTGCGCCATTGGCTTAACCGTTAAAAGCTGGCCCGACAAAACTTCCCAAATCAATAGTTTTCCCGTTGCAGTTGACGCTAGAAGCAGATATGGTGCGTCCGGATTCCGCACGTCTTGAACCACTTCCAGACAGCTTGCCGGCTCAGGCAGTGCCAGTCTCTGCTCCACTGACTCTCTGGATCCGTTACCATTGATCTTGTACACATTTATGAGGGCCTTTCGACGTTGCGCGACGAATAAATGCGATGAACCTACTCGTACTGTTCCATTTCTAAATTCTGTGCCACACTGCTTCAAATCTGTCTGTTTCGCTCCGTTCAAAAAGGAGACGGTACAAGTCGACTGCGTTGTGAAACATAGTTGCTCTTCCATGGCTTTATATAGAGTCTTAGACACTCGTTTTAGCGTTTGAAACTTTTCGATGCTCGAGCGATGAGCTAGCGATGAGCTCTAATTATAAAATTTTATTCTCATGTAAGCAGTAAATGCCGGAAAGCACGACTGACAAGGCAAAAGATCAACTTTCAAGACTCTTAAAGATGCCTTTGGATATTTTAGCGACTGCTGTGGTCGAAGGCACTGACAAGATTCCTTTCTGGCGCGAAATTCGGACTCTTGCACCTTATATAGCGGGAATCGGAGCGATCAAGTTTTGGACGAGAGGTGGCCTAAACCAATGGGGAAGGAAACTACATGGGAAGGTGTACATAGTCACTGGGGCAACAACACAAGGCATGGGAACCGCCGTGGCGCTGGAAATGGCGGAACAGGGCGCACAATTGATTATTTTGGTGAGAAAATTGGACGAGTGGGCAACGGAATGGGTTGAAGATCTACGAAGTAAGACCAAGAACGAGCTTATATACTTAGAGCAGTGCGATTTGAGCGATCTATACCAGGTCCGGAAGTTTGCGACGAAATGGCTGGACAATAAGCCGGCCAGAAGACTTGACGGTGTGGTGGCAATGGCTGGCAATTTGGAGCCAGTTTGGAACGGTACTCGCAAGGCTTCTGCAGATGGGCTAGAGTTGCAAATAGCGGTGAATTTCGCAGGTACGTTCCATTTACTAGATCTGTTGAGACCTGCTTTCAAAGCGCAGCCTCCAGATAGAGACGTTCGCATTATCGCCACTACCTGTATGCTTCAAGCCATCGGAGACGTCAGAGTTGAGGATCCGCTTTGGAGAGACACCAAATACGACCGGCCTCTCAAATATTTTGGTAGTTCAAAGCTACAGCTTGGGTTGTGTATGTTGGAATTGCAGAGACGGATGTTGTCCAGTGACAAAAAAGACGACGGCAGAACGGGCAAAAATGTTACAGTGACACTGGTGCAACCAGGAATCATGCGCTCTACAAGTTTGAGGCGGTTGATTAGTAACGGTTCTGTGTTGGCATTAATCTTTCTTTACTCAATCCTACTATACCCGATTCTGTGGCTGTTCACCAAGAGTGGATTCCGAGGAGCACAATCTGTGCTTTACGCACTGATGACCCCAGAACTAGAAGAAGTGAATTTGAAAGATGAGCAAGTGAAATACGTCGTGAATACCGGTCTGGGACGTTTCTCCCGCAAGGAATTTGATGATGTCGAATTGCAAAAGAAGCTGTATGACACCACTGCGGAAAAGATTTTAGAGTTGGAAAGATCAATGGCCATCAAACGGAATGTGGGAAAAAAGAAGCCAGCAGTATCTGACGCCAAGAAATAGTGGGATAAGACGGTTTGCGTTGGAAGGTCGGGAGGAAGGGAAAACAAAAAGTTCATATGCGTACGGTGTGGTAAAATATCAATACGATTATATGTAAATTTACAGTTGGTAGTTTCTAGTCTGCTCACAATATACTACACTTAGGGTTCTTCTTCTTCTTCTTCTTGGAAAGGCCTGAGTGTGCATTTTTCCAGGCGGAACCGTAACCTGAGTCGCCGACGCCAGCGCCCGCTGTGGCATGCGAGCCTCCTTGACCAGCGGTCTGTCGATCGTTGCTGGCACCACTGCCCGCTTTAGCCTCGTTGATGAGTCTTTCTGGGTCGATGACGACACACTGGACGGCACGTTCGAAAACCTCGGCAACACCGACCTGGGTGGCCGCAGAACACTCAACATAACCCATGAGTCCGCATTGTGCGACACATTGGTCGATGGCAGCGCGCGAAACGAAGTCCGAGTTTACCTCTGTGAGACGGTCCTGTTCGTGTTCGTCGTCACGCAGATCCGCCTTGGTGCCCACCAGCAAGATTGGGTACTTGCCACAGGTGCGGAACAGCTCCATGTTTTCGTAGTTGGTGTTGTGTCTGATTTCTGGGAACCACTTGTCCCGTACGTTTTCGAACGAGTTAGGTTCGTTCACGCTAAAACACAGCAGAAAAATGTCTGTTTGTGGGTACGACAGCGGTCTGAGCCGGTCGTATTCTTCTTGTCCTGCTGTATCCCACAAGTTGAGCCGGAACACCTGGTGTTCCATGGACTTACCGTCGTTCAACGCAATGGTCGTTGTGTAGTTGTCGAAAACCGTGGGTATGTAGTCTTGCGGGAAGGTATTGGTGGTGTAGGAGATGAGCAGCGAGGTTTTACCAACGGCACCGTCGCCCACCACTACGCATTTTACAGATCTCATGGTGTGTTTTTGTCTCTAGTGGCTTTCTTTCTCTCTGTCTTTCTTATTTGGCCCTCTTTTACCAGCTTACGTGCAATTGTCGTCCCAGGGTCTGCGAAGAATGCTTATTTCGATACCTTGTGAGTAACGCTTGAAGCTTTTATTTTACACCTCTGTAGAGTAGACCACTTTAGAGCACTGCAAATCCTGAACTATATCAAATCTGGTCAAAAAGTTTATCAACTTCGTCAAACTCTGTCAACTTTGTCAACTTTATCAACTTTATCAACTTTCTCGCTCTTTCTCAACTTTCTCAACCTGCTCAACTTCTTCACACTAACGGATTGAAACTCAAAAAGATACTTCCTTCTTTCCTGGTCGAATTCTCACTACTTTTACTCCGAGTCGTTCCACTAGTGTGGTGCACTACTAACCTTAAAATATTCCGACAATGAACTTTAGTTTTCCCAACTCTGCTTGCTGGACTTTCTTGAACTATTTCAAAATTCAGTCAAGACTTGAACCTAAGTAGTAAGTAATCAACTGCTGTGGGACCGTTCCAAACGGTGCGAAGTACGGGTGAAAATAAACTGTTCAAAAATCTCGACGATAAAAACAAGTAAGCGACAAAATAATATCGTTTAAAATACTACACCTAATATCTCTCCTTCACTCTCTATCTTTCTCGAAATTCTTCCCAACTCGAAGAAGAAGCCTTTCTCGGTCGGTATTAAATGCCTGCGTGCTTCGATGCGATGATAAATCCTTGAAAACCCGGCCGTAAGAGAACGCAACGTTCCGGGAATTGTAATTGAGCCAAACCTACGCACATACACACATAAGCACATACATCATCATACCTACATACAAACCACGACGGTCCGGGTCTGGGCCCAGCGTTCGCTTGCTCGAAAATCTTGTTGTTGATGAGTGGTGCCGTGCGGGAAATTGTGATGATGATGGTACATAATGTACGGTGGTTTTTTCCCATTGGGTTTCCAGTGGGCTTTCAGTGGGTTTCCACTGGGCAACGGACGCAGGTGGGTGGCAGCATGGAATCTAGGAGGATCGACGTGTAGTGGAAAAGCTGCAGCGATGCGTGCTGTGGAAGACGGTTAGTTTTTTAGAGAGAGAGAGAGAGAGAAGAGAGAGAGAGAGAGAGAGAGAGAGAGAGAGAGAGAGAGGTGTATGGACGANGAGAGAGAGAGAGAGTTGTATGGACGACGGAGATGGAAGACCGATACTGACAGTGTGTGTGCGTGTGGTATGTAGCAGAGATGACGCGTTTGGGTGTCGTTGCGGCATGCAACGATGTGATGTCATTGAAGGACAGATGCAGGGAAAGTGAAATAACAAATAACAAATAACAAATAAGAAAAAGGACCGTGCTCACCTAGGCACCCACCCGTGGGTTAAGGACGGAGAGGACGTGGCATAGAGGATGTTGTTATAGGGATGAGCCGGAACGGGGTTCTTCGGGGCTCGAAAGACGTGAGAAGCGTCAAACTGATGTAGAGTGATGAGCAGCGACACAGTGGTATAGAGTGATATGAGGTGTCAAGGTGGTATTAAGTGATCTTTGGGCGAAACTACTCTTTAATAACATCATCAAGACAGCTTGGCACCAATGCCAGTGCCAATGCCAGTGTCAGTGCGATAAAATAACAACATGGATACTGTGTTGATGTTTCAAACAATGACTATATTTAGTCACAAACAATGGTGCAGAACTCTCTCTCTCTCTCTCTCGAACTTGGCCAGCCAATTGTGTTAAGTTTTCCAAAACGCTAAAACCAGACAGCTACGAGTCTACAGGTTCTAGACGTCTAATGCAAAAGAACTTGGTCTCTCGACTCTTTCCCTCTCAGGTGTGATTTTCTTTTTTCCCTGCTTTTTCCCATAAAACCACAGAACTTCACACACCCTACTATCGTCTTGGTCTTGTCGCCAGCCCTCGCACTCCATCCACAATGAAATGTTCAATTTTTCTGGTGGTCCCGACAATTTTTTCAGCGGTTATGGCAGCGGTATTTGACGCGAATTCCAATTCCAACGTCGCCGTTTACTGGGGCCAAGCTTCTGCAGGGTCCCAACAATCGCTGGGCACATACTGTCAGTCGTCGGACGTTGACGTAATTCTTTTGTCGTTTCTACACTCATTCCCGGAAAATCTAAATCTTCATTTCACATCAGACTGCCCCACAACTTTTCACAGCGGACTTTTACACTGCGAAGCAATCGCTAACGACATCAAATCATGTCAAAATCTGGGCAAAAAAATTATGCTTTCCATAGGAGGCTCTGCTGGCCCATACGGTTTCCAAAACGATAGCCAGGCCGCTGAATTTGCCACTACACTGTGGAACACATTTGCTGGCGGGTCTAGCAATGAACGTCCTTTCAACGACGCTGTCGTTGACGGGTTTGATTTCGATATTGAAAATGGCAATTCGACCGGTTATAGTGCGATGGCCAAAAAACTGAAAGAATATTACAGTGAAGCCGACAAAAAATATTACTTATCTGCCGCTCCGCAATGTTTTTATCGTGACGCCTCGGTAGGTCATCTTATCGAGAACGTTGAGTTGGATTTTGTATTTATCCAGTTTTACAATAATGCCTGTAATGTGGACGCACAATTCAACTGGGACACCTGGGCTCAAGCTGCAAATGCGGCCCCAAATTCCAAAGTTAAGCTTTTTTTGGGTCTCGCAGGATCATCATCCGCTGCTGCATCCGGTTATTTGTCAGATCTACAAAAAGTGCGTTCCACGGTTGAGAACATCAACAAAGGTGTCAATTTTGGTGGTATAATGCTGTGGGATGCGTCACAAGGTTTCGCAAACCAAGTGGAAGGGAAGAGCTACGTGTCACATATGAAGGAAATTCTAAACTCCACAAGAGGAAACCTGCTTGCTCTCAGCGTTGAAGAGAATTCTAGTAGTATCAGCACGGTGACGCAATATTCAACTTCCACCTCTGTCACCAGTGCATTGAATATTTCGCCTGCTTCAAATGATCCCAAACCGACCTCTACGCGTGTGCCAACTTCTCAAGGCTCCAAAATGGTGAATTTTCTGGCGGAATTTATGAGATATACGAGAAGAGCGCTGCTATGAAGGTTCTAAGTCTGTACGGACAACTTTGATATAAATGTATGACGTAGAAAAGGAAGTACAGGTGATAAACAACCTGTCAAGTGTGCAACTTGAAGAATTGATATCTTTACTGTGCTAATGCGCCATACCTTGCTCAATGGTCGAGTTGGTGTCAGGCATGAGTTTGCGTCAACCATTCGAATCTATACTCGAGGGACCAGATGCCCTAGTCGTCACAAACGGTTCTCGTCCCACGACGCCAACTATGACATGGCCCATGATCTTAAAACATTGGAATTACAAACAAACGAGAAGTATGGAAATGACAGGCGACATAAACTTTCAGGAGAACACAATCCATTTCCGTTCGCTATCTTCGTTTTCCTCTACATATCCTCTCTTTCGCGACCAATTCCTTAGCTATGTGCACTTTCACTTGAGACTGCTTTGAAACCCATACACCAACCAACATTTATTTCGATTTTCGTAAAATCCCGAAACTTTTCATCGTTACAATAGTCACTACGCACGAGTAAATGCTTAACCAGAAATTAACCCACGCAAATCGCGTACACAGTGATCATAATTTTTCAAGTCCAATCCTGGCGTCAGTCGGGACAACTTTCCAAGACACTCACCAAAATTTAACTTGATATACCTGAGTGTTCCAGTAGGATTCGTTACTGACTTGATCTTGATTTTACTCTTGTTTCACTCCTCACTCCAAAGATGGTTGCTGTTATTTCCAAGAAGAGAAAGCTTGTCGCTGACGGTGTTTTCTACGCCGAATTGAACGAATTCTTCACCCGTGAGTTGGCCGAAGAAGGTTACTCTGGTGTTGAAGTGCGTGTCACCCCAACCAAGACCGAAGTTATCGTTCGTGCCACCAGAACCCAGGATGTCTTGGGTGAGAACGGTCGTAGAATCAACGAGCTAACTTTGTTGGTTCAAAAGAGATTCAAGTACCAGCCAGGTTCCATCGTTTTGTACGCTGAACGTGTGCAAGACCGTGGTCTATCTGCTGTTGCCCAAGCCGAATCTATGAAGTTCAAGTTGCTAAACGGTCTAGCCATCAGAAGAGCCGCTTACGGTGTTGTCCGTTACGTCATGGAGTCCGGTGCCAAGGGTTGCGAAGTCGTCATCTCCGGTAAGCTAAGAGCTGCCAGAGCCAAGTCGATGAAGTTCGCAGACGGTTTCTTGATCCACTCTGGTCAGCCAGTTGCTGACTTCATTGACACTGCCACCAGACACGTCTTGTTGAGACAAGGTGTTTTGGGTATCAAGGTCAAGATCATGAGAGACCCTGCTCAGAACAGAACCGGTCCAAAGTCCTTGCCAGATGCCGTTAAGATCATCGACCCTAAGGACGAGGAGCGTATTGCTCAACCTTCCGTCAAGGACTACAGACCAGCCCCAGCTCCAGAGGCTGCCTCTGAAGCCCAGGAAGCTGCTCCAGTTGAAGCTTCTGCTTAAATAGCAAGATAAGTATATTACGGTTGTCTACAAAAAGTGTACAACTTAATAGAGACTGGGATTTTTCCAAAGTAGTGAATGTTCATGTAGCGGTCTGTGCGTGTTGAAAGTGACACACGCGTGTACGGTGATAAAGATGCAGTATTAAAAATCGGTTTCCGACACAGAGGAACCGAGAAGGTCATTGTGAAGCCTTAAAATCGATTGTTTGTCTTATCTTTTGTAACCAGCTCTTGCGTAACGCTGCAGCTGAACTCTTGAAACGAAGATACGGCGTTGCACGTGACTGATGACAGCGACAGAACGAATGAAAAGTGACATTGGTGAGCGTTATCGTGGAATCTAGAAGGACGTCTTCCACGATGAGTTCAGGAGATTCATCAGTCGTTGCACATATCTCTCTGAGCTTCCTTTGCATATCATTAGTCATAACATTTTCATATCTGACGGACAACGAAGCATTATTATCACTAGCCTGCCAGACAATGTTTTCGCTAAACTCCACTCCACCACCCTGACTTCGTAATTTCTCACATACCCGTCGACCACATCCATTGGTATTTCAACTAAAATAATGGCCAAAATGTACCCGGTGTCTTTTCTATCGCACTGTCAATTTATTATACATCTAACATGAGCTGTAGATGTCAGAAAAAGGCCAAAAGTCGACCAAAAAAGCAGCAGTTCACTCACTTTAACGTCAAATAATGTATAAGAGCATGAACAACTATGTCATCTAAATCATCGGTTCTGAAACTCTCTCTTCTTACCATTTCCCTCTGATATTTAACTACCCAGTCGTTATCATCGATTTTCCAATTTAATGAAGTATATATAATGTGAAAAATTGTCCATGAATCAAGCATCTAAGATCAACCCTGACTAGCTTCTCAGGAACCGTTTTTGAACTCCTTTGCCAATCCATGGTATCTTATAAGGAGCTTTGTGCCATTGGCACGACTTTAATTGTCGCTTCCAGCACCTTCATCATGGGAGTATTCTACGCTAACCAAGCGTACGATGCCCATGTTTTGTTCAACCCTCAAGTGGCTCAATCGAATTTTGACAACAGTTTACACCACTACCAGACTCTGGCCGAAACACCCATGCCCGTTATCGGTGGTCTTGCGTTTGTTGCCTTCGTGGGTCTTGTGGGATGTCTAATTCGCATCTATAAGCCAAACTCAGAATTGCAAACTTTCGAATACGCTTCCCTTGTCATGTATGTGATCGGGATCTGTTTGTTTATCACGAACATCAAAACTGGGATTGAATCTGCTGTCTCTGGAGAGTGGGGCGAAGTGACCCCAAACCAGGGTGTGGCGGTCATTGGGTCTTCCAACATCATTTTGATCGTCGTCTTTATCGGCGTTCTTCTGTTGCAAGCAGGTTTGACTTATTCTAACTGGGAATTCGAACAAAGAATGACCAAATTCTTGGCAGAAGAAGAAAAAGAGCAAGCTGCATCTAACTCCAAGAAGGCTCAGTCGGAGGAGCCCAAGAAACAGAAATAAGGGATCATTTATCTTTCTATTTGATTTTACAACTTCTTTCAGTGGTTCCTTGTGTGTGATTATTGAAAGCGCCCTATTCATGGAATACCTTGAAACTCTATGTACATGTATGAATTGTCGTTCACCATTTGTAAACGCCTCCCATGGCACCTCTTACGGGCTGATCTCTTAGTTGCACCCAAGGCGCTCTTCTTTCCTGCTTTAACTGCTGCTCGAACGCAATACGGCGTTTCGTGACGTCCTTAGTCTTCAAAATGCATCTTACATGAACGTAAGGATGTGTTATCACACCATTTCTTCCTCTTGCCTTGATATCGATTCTTTTCTGCCAGTATCCATCACTACCGGTCCATAGCTGTGCAATATACAGATTGTCTGGTTGCAGACCTAACTTTTCGGCATCCTGTATTCCCCGTGAAAGTACTTCTGCAACGTCGCGGGCAATTTTCTTGTCTGAGAAGTGGCATTGCGTCAAAGCGACTTTGGCATCTAAGCCGTTCAACAATCTTAGAAGTTGTGTTGCTTTTTTCATGGAAGATTTAATTCGGTACGATTTCACATAAACACTAGGCTCCAACGCATCGACTTCTTCACGACTTAAATTCAGTTTATACTTGAATTTTTGTCCGTTTTCCTCTGTTAAAGTCACAAGTGTATCCTTCTTATAGAACCCACCGTTAATTCTACAGTTTTCTTCATATAGTCGTTTCTTAAATGGTGAGAGTAGTGCATCAGTGGCCAACATGGTTGATTGCGTTTTCTTGATGAAAGACTGTAGAAGTTTGTCGTTGGCTACTGTTACAGATGTTTTGGGATCCGCATTCTCATTTTCAACCGCATTGGTGGTTGCTGTAAGCCTATTGGAGATCTTTTGCGGATCGTCGGCCTGCTCTTCCACACCTTCAGTTATTGATCCAAATAGCGAGGTATTCTCTTGTTTCTTCGCTAAAACCCCCGTTTGAAAGCTTCTTTTCAAACAAGGGCTCCGAAGTAAACCGTAACACCGGGACAGGGAGCTAGAAAGCATTTGAAGAGCTTCTTAAGCAGTTTTTTATGGTCTTGAACCTATAGGTTTTTAAACTTTTACTCGACCTTCATTTCATAAATTTCAAAATTTTTCAGAGATGAGGTCTTTCTAAGAAACCTATAATGACGGTAAACTTTAAATATGGATTCTGGGTCAGGTTATAGATTAATTATGGATTCGCTCCGACTAAAAGTCTTGCAAGTTAAAGTTGTCTTTTTTTGGTTTGAAAACCGTTCCGTTATGGCTAGTCAACCTTGGTGAAACGCCCTAAACTCTGATGTAGATTGTGTTCCTGCACTTTTTGGGTATAGACAGTTCCATAGTCTTGGCTGACCACTAGCCGGAGTGGTCATGGTTGTTCCACGAAACGTATGATACAAATTTAAAAGTCCCAACACTTGGAAGTTCCCATTCGTAGATAATTGACCTGCAATTTTCTCGTTCGCTTTGTAGTAGGAACCAGCGAAGAAGGTCTACTGTCATTGAATGACCGTAGACTACGGAGTGGAGATATGAATGTCACAGCACCTCTCTCAAAAAACTCTGTGTACTTCTGGCAACCGCATTAGGCCTCGAAAGCTGAATCGACGATGAGGAATCAGAGTCGGTGCCTGAAAATGAAGACGTTTCCTCACTACGATAAGAGAAATGGGAGTGCAATGGAGGATCTCGCGCGGGTACCGGAGGTAGCAGGGGAAGCCGCTTCTGGAAATCGAACTCGTCCTGAAATGGGTTTCCGCGTGTTCGCTCCGACTCCGTCGTGGCTTGTTCCTGAGAAGCGAGGGTTTTAGTTTTTGCTTCGCTTTTACGCCATAACGGCAATTTGCGTCCAAAAGAGCTGTACTTGCTTTTCAAAAACTCTTCGTCTTCGTCAGACGACCTATTCGTGGCACTACGGTTGTTTGGTGCTCCGAAGGCTGTATCGTTCAAATTGCTAGGGTCATCAACGCGACATCCAATGTCATGACTGAATCCCTGTACCGACTTCACTCGCTTCTTACGCCGCCAAAATATAATTCCTCCTATGAGCAATGTCGCAAGTAAAAGCCCACCCACGCTACCCAAGACGCTGGCGATTATAGCGTTCCGATGGCCTGCAGATATTGAGCCTCCCGATTGGCCCGAATCCAACGTCCCACTCAGCCAACGGTTGTAAAAACCCACGTCGGTGGTAACGGCAGCAGTGGGTGCTGAAAATGTTGCGGCCTCATTAGAATTCAGAATCGAGACCCTGGATAGCTCTGTTGTGAAAGTTACAGAAGACTCAGTGATGATATAACTGCGTGTGTAGCTCACAGCAGTCTTGCCCTGCTGCAGACTTCTCGTAGTAGTCGTTGCTCCCGTTGTGGAAGTGGGCGTTGTCGTCGATTTAGTGGGTATTTCACTCGTCGCCGTATTGGAAATAGAGCTATAGCTAGTGCTTTCCGGTATCAAAGGTATCAGTGTGGAGTTTAAAGTTTGATGTGAGGTAAAGCTACTTGACGTCTGCGTTAAATCCTGCGACCAAGAGTGCACTGATGAGCTGGCCAAAGTGGAAGAAAAGCTGTCACCAGTAGAAAACCTGGAAGATCTACTAGAACTCGAACTAGATGTCTTTATACTACTCACGTAGCTTACTCTGGTAGCGTTGAACATCATTCCTCGACGAGCTTCTTTTAATAGACCAAACTTGTAATGTGATGGCTAGGCACCCAAAACGGCACCTCGCACCTGCTCGAAAGCTTCAACCTAGTCAGTTCCCGCACGCGGAATTTAACGATGATGAATGTAGAGACTGGTAGTGACTGTCTGTACTGGAAAACTTGTTTTGATCTGGCTTCACACATCGAGAAACGTTCTACAAGTCACCGAGTCTAATTTAATTTTCAATTCTTGAGATCACTTTGTTCCAAACTGACATTTGCAAATTGACAAATCAAATTCCAGCGTCAGCGTCAGTAAAAAGAATGTCAGATTGTCCAGAGCCGTCACCAATGGAATTGTAGATACATCCGTGGACACTGTTTATGAAATTGTTTAAATTCTTTGCTATTGTACATGCGAGGACTGAGAGTTTCGCGATATTATCAAAAGGTGATCTTTTTACCCCGGGAAGGGACAATGGCAGCAGAAGCTCTTTGGGCTCCAGCTAGCGCGATACTACTCTTGGTACGATTGTTCTTGTCCTTTTGATAAGAGTCCTTAGTTCTTTGAGTAGATTTTGCAGGTTTCACAGGTTTCCTCTCTCTAATAGGAGGAGCTGCAGCAGCCATTGAGGATGTTGGAGGGGTTTTCTCGCGCAGCGAGGGCTCGGTCGAAGGTTCTCTTCTCTTTACTTGACGCTTGCTTCTGTCTTCACCGAATTCCATCCTCAACGGTCTTCCAGCGATCTTGCGACAGCTTTTGTCCTTAAGTGCAGCAGTGGGGCCCTCTTCATTTTTGAAGTCCAGGAAAGCAAAACCTTTACATTTACCGGTGTCCTGGAAAGTAGCCATCCTGACCTTGACAATTTCACCGCAATGTTGAAAATGTTTTTTCAAGAGTTCGTCGGTGGTGTCGAACGATAAATTGCCTACAAATAGAACGCGCGATGGTGGGTTCTTGGAACGTGATATCAAGTCGTCTTTGTCAGGACGACCTTCGAAAGACTGAGAACTTTTTATCAGCATGTTTCTTCCGTTGAGGTGCGACTCGCTTAACGAGATTACCGCTTGCATCTGTTGTTCGGTCTTGAAATTCATGTGAGCAAAGCCCTTGTTTTTGATCTGTTTCCCGTCATTTTGAGCCAATGGAAGATTGATTCGAACAATGTCTTTTTCCTGAATTCTGGCCTCTTCATCTTCCAGTTCACGAGTCTTGGCGATGAAGAAGCGCGATAGGTCTTCTTTGGAAGTGTCAAACGACAAGTTACCAATCCACACACCGAATTTCTTATCCTTGGCGGCCTTTGAGCCCTGTTCCACCTCTTCTTCTTTGTTGTCTGGTGTTTCAGAACCTTCCTTGTCTCCCGTTGAGCCCCCAGCCGCTTCCTTCTTGTATTCGTTCACAGACGATGGGTCCAAATTGAATTTCTCGTTAAGTTCTTCCAAAGTCACTTTCCCTCTTCTCAAAAGTCTTTTCTGCTTCTTGGATAGTGGGACAGTTTGATTCAAGTCGATTTCGATTTCGTCCTCTGCTTTTCTTTTCTTGGTGAGATCTTGCAACGCATTTTCAATCTTGGGATCCTTAGAAACAATGTCGTTTTTTTCAACAACATTGACCACCTCTTTCACAGCACTTTCAGATGTCATGTTTGATCGATAGACTGTTATTGCGATCGGTACGCTGAGTTATGTTGTTAGCTCATCGCATCTCATCTCACCTCATCTCATCTCATTGCATATTCAAATTTTGTTATTTTTCATATTTTGCCAGTTTGTGACAAAGTGATCTTTACTTAACATAAGGTGCTAACCTTAAGGCAGGAAACGACGATAGTTAAGCTGAGGCACCTGGGGCAAAGCTAGAGCTCTCCACTTTTTGTCAACAACATCTAATGTGCGTCCATTGAATTTGTTTCTTGCTTATTCCAATTGATATGGATTAAAACTATACAAATTGATTAAGAAATGATTACAAACTCGCGTGGAAGGAGTAAAAGATAGTTTGCGTCAAAAAGTCTGTGATAAGGAACAGTTCTCTGAGTTAATATGAAGCCCAAGAGCCTAAGAATTTTTTGGTATTAATAGGAGCATTTTTTCTTCCCTAATTGAAGATTTTCTTGATCTTTGAGAAAAGACCTTTCTTTTTCTTCTTCTTTTCCGGAGACGCTGGAGTGGCTTTTGGTTTGGAAGTGGCAGGCTTCTGGGACTTGACAGTCTCCTTGACGATCGGAGCTTGTTCAATAGCGACCTCTTCAGGTTTTTGTTTCTGAATGGCCTCTGCAGCCGCGGCTTCGCTGGCTTCTTGGTACTCTGCAACCTGAGAAGGTGGGATATCTCCCTCAACGACCAGCAATTCCGTAGTTTCACCAGGTTTACCGTGCTTAGGATCTAATGTTTTTTTGATCAGCTCTGCTTCTTGTTCTGGAGTTGTAATAACACCAATCTCTTCAGAAATAACTTCTGGCGCTTCTTCGACAGTGCCTGCTTGAGCCTCGGCTTCAAACTTATCCTCCGATTCAGTGCCAACGAGATCTGTTGCGCCAGGCACACCCCTGACCTCACCCGTAGGCTCTTCTTCGGATGGTGGGGCCTGAGAAAGTGCGGCGGGTTCTGCAGCCAAGGAGGTTTTGGGTGGTAAGTGGTCCAGTTCACCTTCAACTAGCACAATGTCAACGTCTGCGGGAGATGTTTCGACGGCATTTTTGGCAATGACAGGTTCCTGAGTAATAGGCCCTTTTGTAGAAGTTTCTGGCTGCTCTGAAATGTCAAAGTCCTTCACTGTCTTGACAGAAGCGGTTTTACCCTCTACCGGTGCATTTGGTACTGGCAACACGTCTTCTTGTTTAGAAATATGGTCAGAGTTTACCTTTTCATGTGCTTCATTTGCAACATCAGCTGCAACAGCGGCAGCAGTCGCCTGAGCAGGAGACGACTCAAGGGTTTCGCTGTGTTCGGCCGGTGGAAGAGCCTTGACGTCGGCATCCTCAGCTTGAGGCAAAGCATTCACTTCTTTGCTGTGGGTGACAGGTGGAGCAGTTTCACTCACAGGTAGCGGAGTTACACCCAAAGGAAGTGGAGTCACACCCAAAATAGGCGCGGTAACACCCGAACGAGTTGCCTCCGATTTTTCTTCTGTAGTGGATGGTTCCACTTCCTTGTTTTGGACTGGGGCCTTAGGAACAGATTCTTGAGTTGAAGCCACTTGAAGAACTGGTGCAACCAAATCTTTTTCTTGTGCTGAGTAGTCTGTAGATGGAACTGCTTCCTTTTCGGTATCATCTTTGAGCACGACAGGGAAATCAGGAGCACTCAAATCCTTTTCCTTGACAGGATTTTTCAATTCTGAATGAACAGGTTCGGCTTCATTTCTTTCAGGTTCGGGTTTCACTACGATGTGGCCAAGATCAGCATCATCTTTGGCGGCCAATTCACGGTTTAGTCTTTCATTGAGCTCATTTTGGTCCACGTCTCTAATTTCCGAAAACTCTTTTATTTCTTGAGGGTTTGGCATGATTGCGATACCCGGTTCTCCCAATGTCTTTTGCTGATTTTCCTGAGAGGGCATAACGGTGCTTTGGAAATCATGATCATGCACGGCCTTGGTGTGGTCATCGTCTGCGAGAAGCGGGGTTTCTTCTCTTGAAGTAGCAGTGGCGGTGGCCGTTTCCTCGGTTTCGTACGTGTCTGTGTCGGTACCAGACCTGATTTCTGATCTTTCTTCAGACAAAACGGTTCTTTCACCGGTTTTTTTGTTTCTGCGGATTCTACGTTTGATTTGAATCTTCTTTTTCTTGTTTTTTTTGTTGGAACCAGGAGCAGGCTGAGCCTTTTGAGGTGCTTGAGTTCCCAAGACGGGTGCTGCGACTTCTGGGGCCACGAGATTGAGACCGATTTCTGGGATTTTCGAAGAGTTTTGCTTCTTGGACGATGCTGAAGCAAGCCACGCCACACTTACGCTGTTATTAACGATTCCATCGCGCGACGTTTCTGTTTCGTAATCTTTACTGGTCTGCCAGTCGCCGTCCACGATGAATTTGAACCTGAATTTGTCGTCTGGTGCTCCAGAAATGGGCATTGTGATGGCAAAATCGCCACTGGACACATTTTTCACCAATGGCAAACTACCGGTCCAGTTGTCAAAATCTCCGGTTAACAAAACTTCGTTGGGGCCTTTGGGCCATGTAAATGTGTATTCTGTCATTGTTTAGACAATTCAGGAATGAAACGGTGTTTATACCAGCGTTATAGGAAGCCTTTTAAGGTTTCAATTGAGTTATGTTTCGTTGTTCATGAAGTGTAGATGAAAGTGTTATATTTGGTAGTTGCTCCAGGGTTTTTTCACCCCCCTTCAATTTTAGAATGGCTGAAAGCCCTTTCGTGTAAAGGGATGTTCTCGAGCAACAAGAATGGCTGAGCAGCTGACTACAACTGAGATGGCTACAAGCATGAACAATTGAGAGCGTCAGCTCTCAATTGTAAAAGGTGATGATGGCCCCAAGCATGGTTGGACGATTGAGAGTCCTTGGCGATCAGTTGTGTACGTTGGTGATGACTATCAGCATGAAGAACTGAGAGCGACAGCGATCAATTGTGAAAAGTAGACGATATTGTAAGCACAATTGAACGACTGGGAGCATAAGCGATCCAGTGTGTATAGCAAAGCATATTCTAAGCACAATTGAACAATTTTGATTAACACAGATAATAATCGTCGCTGTAAGATGGGGAAACAGCTGCCAGCTGTCGTTCTCAGTTGTTGATAACACAAAGAACAGTAAACAAACTTGAACGAATTAGTTTCACACTTGAACGTATTAGTTTCACACTTGAACGTATTAGTTTCACACTTGAACGTATTAGTTTCACACTCTCAGCTATTAAATAAATATGAAAAAAGGCTGTCGAAATTAGTAGAGAAGAGTTTCACATTGGTGTAACAGCCAGTATATTCACCAGAGGTCAAGAATCGTGAGAGTTCTGAGATTGTAGTTTCGGTAGCGTTCGTGTTAATGAGACAGGTTTAGCTTTGAGAATGTACTAGATATTGATGTACTCGTGTGTGAGTACTCAAGTAGAGTTGAACAATTGGGAGCGTCAGCGATTAATTGCGAAATATAGGACTATAGACATAATTGAACGATCGAAAGCGTCGGCGATCAATTGTGAATAGCAGAGACTATTGGAAGCTTGATTGAACAGTTGAGAGCGTCAGCGATCAATTGTGGATTGTATTTATGGCAATTAGTGTACTTGAACGATTGAGAGCGTAAGCGATCAATCATGAAAAATAGAGAAATGAAAGAATAATGAATTGTACAGAATAGCACAATCGAACAATTGAAAGCAGTAGCGATTAATTTTGAAAAGCAGATAATATTTTAAGCCCAGTCAAGCAATTGAAAGCGCAGCACCGAACAGTGATTAGCGGAGACGACAGTAATCACAATCGTGCATAAATATTAATATAGACAACCCTCAAACTTTACAAGAAAGCTCCCGGTCGCCGCATCGTCAATTGTAGATAAATGTGACAGCAAGATGAGATAAAACCACCGGTTGATACGGTGGAAATTATAATAACAAGATTGAGTGCGAAAAACTCATACACCGCAATGAAGTTTCGGTAGTTAATTTGAAGAGCGCTTCAAAACTGTTGCACAAATGCCATCGATTTTGCACGTTCGGAACAACCATAGCCGTGGTTCAAGTGAGAGCGCTGTTGTTTGCAAACACATGGAACGTCTCCAACGAGGAAAACATTTAAGCTTTTGGGAATGTTTTCCCTCGAATAGTGGTTGAAGGATGTTGATTACAGGACTGAAAACGAACCTGGCGAAACCAGGAATTCCAGACCTGGGGAAGAGTCGATTCGGGTAGACAACGTATTTAGTGAGTATGATACTTGTAAAACCATAAGTGGACTCTCGTTTGGTTCGCGATGCTAACCGACAATATCATTCACATAGCTTCGAGAACAGCTTCCCATGACAAGTAAGCTAGAGGGAACTACGTAATATTCGTCGAAAACCTCGGTCTGTGGAGCGTCAGATTCATGACAAAGTGAGCATGCGCACGTGACCCAATGACAGCGACAGAATTGACGAGATATTCAAAGTATATAGAACTAGTACTGATCTAACAGGAATGACATTGTGTGAACCAAGTAGTACCACTTACATGGCTCCTATAGAAGTCCATTTCCCCCATCTGCATTTGGAATGCTAGGAAACGTTTACATCCGTCAGCGACGGAACATTTCATCCACTCTACAAGCATTCCATTTATGCTGAATACAGCACGGAGGGATAACTCTAACCTCAACGAGACAATAGTTCACATCTTACAAAAACGGATAGAATCACCCAAGATATGAGATGTTGATTGTGAAACGACACTCCAGAGACAGAGTCTCGACACGAGTATAAACAATACTAATTTAAGCAGGATCAAATATGAATAACAAAATATGGGACACTCAGTCAAGCGCTCACTTCTTCGAGGTGCTTCATTCTAATTAGCATTAGACAGACTACAGCACCTGAAGAACTGCTAATCACCTTTGTACGCAAGACTGATCAGCAGTTCTTCTGTTTATCACCGCAGAAGTTTAATAATTTCACAACCAGCACTCCAATCTCTCTGCCGTGCAAACGATTTGCAAAACATGAGCAAGAGTTACCTCTGCCGGCGTTTTTTGCTATCCTCATTTCAATGTCACTTTATTTGAATTATTTATCTCTACTTAACGCATCCTGGCGTAAGGCCGTGTGTTTCCCATGTACGGAATCCATCTGACTAGCTTAAACCGATCGCTAAATATAAACCGCTAGAGAATTCAATCTGTTCGGCAAGAGTGACCCAAGGATTTTCCTCGTACGTAGTGTATAGCGTTGAATTCTCAGGAATGATGTACGTGTTGCCTGCAGTGTCCTTGATTGTGACATAATCGTGCTCCGCCCAAATGATTGCATTAGGGTAAAGTCCCACGAATTCTTCCACAGTGACACTAGTGTCGTAGGGACCAACGCTGTCAGCTGCAACCAACGACAGGAAGGTGGATAGAAGAACTTTGGCGAATTTCATTTTCGGTTACGAGAGGGTTTTTGGTCTTTATTACAATAGCGGTTGTTTGATGAATAAAAATAAGAAGAAGTGGTATAAATTCGTCGAAATGCTGAAGATACGGCTCTCTTTTTATACCTTTTGGTTTTGGAATCGAAACCTCACTGGTGCACCCTACATTCCACCAAGTTGTCAATTCTACACATTTGCAATTGTCAAGTGTAAAACAGGGTCCTTCGAGCTCACAGCAAGGAGATAAGCACATAGTACAGCTGCATTATGCATTGACTGGGTGTCTGCCATTCTATCTACTGTTCCTTGTAGACGATCCAGCTTGGGGCCTGGTCAGCCTGGTCATTAAATTCGGCACGGCTTACTATTGACGATGGTCTCGAGTAGTAACGGTCAAGATGATTTTCGCAACGCATGCACGAAAAAACCAAGATCCATTAAAGGCAGGGGAATTTGCATGAAGAAATGTCTGCGGGAATGTGCTGATAGCTGACTCAGGGTGCACGCAAGGGTTCGGCTGGAGACCCTGTATGCAGCATCCCGAACATCGGATTTAGGATAAGCATTCCATGATGCAGGTTACCCAGGAGGTTGGACTTTATTTACCACATTGAGAACAAATTTGGATCACATTAAGGCAATAATCCGGCTATTGTGTGCTGGGCTGGCGTGAGAAAGTGTAGAAGAGAAGGCCAAGAGCGGGCCAAAAAACCTCTCACAGAGCTGTGGCTTGTCCTTGATACGGGTATGTGAGAGTTATACGACCCATAATCGTGGCAGTGTATCTTGGGCACGAAATGCAAATGACCTCATGTTCGTATTGAAGAGCTCAGATGAGAAAGAAGACATCTGTATCACCCGCTCAAGATCTTAACCTCGATGACTGACTTTCCTCATGTGATCGAGATGTTCAATAATATTGGCTAAAAACAGGTATTTCCAGCGTGGGTAAATACGAGAAGTGACTACTACCAACCCAACAGCTGTAAGTGGAATTAACTTGTAACTTAGCAACAAGGAGCAGTCTGTTTCTAGTGTTAAATTTTCACCGCAAGGCGATGGGAAGTAGAAAAACGGAACCTGCTCATATGTCGATCACACCACCGAATTATATTCAGCAACGAGATGAAATGAGCCTTCTATTGGGCTATTGAACCTTGAAACCAAAGACCTGCGGTTTAAATATTCATTTTACCTCCAACATTGGGTTAGAACTGAGTTAGCAGCGTTTGAAGTGTAAAAAATCGCATCACAACTTGACTGACGTCGCACCACGTGACCTACTACTACGTCAGCGACAGATTTGATATAGCTTCGCTACAGCCTTTGGACTTAGTTCATCGACATCTATCAATGATTTTCTAACGTTCGTGCTTATTATTTCTGTACATTCTCGTCAGATACTCTTCTTACGCTCAGTGACAGTATTGTAAGGTGTGTGTTCGTTCACGTGACAGCGACAGAATTTAACAAAAATAACCAAGAAAACCTGGACACGTACGAGTTACTGATCCTTTTACCAGCCATGGTGCCAATACTAGCGAGTGGCATCCCAACCCTATTGATACTACGATACTCCTATATTTTCCATTTTCACCAAAACCACGTGAAACCTCTCATTCCCATTGATGGTGAAATGAATCTCAAAGATGTATAATAGACCATGCTCTCTGTAAACAGCTTGAGGAAAGATACATCCACTGTCTTTACAACGAAGAATGGTACCTCAATTTTAAGGTAATAAATCACTAATTGTGCAAAACTATTACCATACCACGACAGTTCAGGGACTCAATCGAAAACCCGCAAAGGGTATAAACGATTACAAACACATTAATAGAATTTTTGTCCCGTCCAAAATACAACTGTAGAAATCTAATAAAAAGCCTCTCTGAGCAAAACTTCCATATATCCAGAAACGAATCAGCTTTATTCAGCTGCTAGTGAAAAGGTAGCATTAGCCCATCTGCCACTCCGTCAAGTATATGTACGTCTTTTGTTCACTCCTTTTCAAAAATCGGGCGTGTGGTCTAGTGGTATGATTCTCGCTTTGGGCGAAGTTCGAGCCTTAACTCGGACTCCATTAACCACAAGCATGCGAGAGGCCCTGGGTTCAATTCCCAGCTCGCCCCATTATATTTTTGCTAATTAATGCCATTTATTTATTATTCATTCGGCGACTGAACAAAAATTGAGAGATAAGGAGGGACAGTCTCACAAGAAAAGCTCGGTATTGTGGTATGCCAAATTCATATTCAGCTTCCACTGCAGATACACCATTATTCATGCTAACTAAACAGAAACTTAACGTTTGAGCAAAAATCACTGTGTACGTAGTTTATGTGGATTCTGTGTCACATATTTGGCAAGATATCTTCACTTACTTCACTGGTAGTACTTTATAGTTCCCGATTTCACATTTCTCCCCGTGAAGACTCAATTGGAACATCACTCGCAGTAATGGCCGTATAATGAGTCCAGAATCAACCGTCCAATTCCAAAACTCCCAATATGGACAAGTTTGGGTTCACCATGGTCGCACTGTGGAATGGAGATGGGATCAGAAAAGCTTAAGAAGTTTTGAATTTGGCAATGAAATTGTACTCAGAGCCGGATTTGTGGATTTTGAAACCGCTCAACAGTGCTTGGTGATTGTCCTTGAAGATCGCGCTCAAGTTCATTATGTTTCAAAAGGCGATTCAAGTACGGTGAGTTTTCCCTTTACTGTTTCTAAAGCATTTTTTTATCCAACTGGCGTGGTGCTAGAGCGTCAAGTAAACGAAGATTTGCTCAGACGTGGTTCTTCTGTCAAAAACCGTTTTATAACACTTTCAAACCCTTTGAATACTTTGGGTTCTGTGTTGCTCTCATCTTACTCGCCCGATGTACAAATCGGTCAAACTATTTTGCATTTTCCGTCAGAGTGGGACCATCACATTGCTGTTTTGTACGATGCAAACTCTCAGGTGCTATCTTTCCATAACGTAAAGATGCTGTCTCAACAGAACCGCACATCTACAAAAAATCGGGACGACAACGATTCTAATGTATCTTGCAATAAGTCGTATGCGTCTCTCATCAACGATTTGAACCCTGCAGGCGGGAAAAGGGCATTTTCTGGAGAACGATTAGATGCCCCAATCTCATCTTCATCGTCTTCGGGACCCTTCAATAACATTTTGCATTCAGCCAATTCTTTGTCCACCGAACTGACGAATAATCTTCGCAAAATCTCTATTATAAACAGAAGATCGGTCTCCGCAACGTTGGGAGCTGACCAGGAACAGCCGCAACAAATACAGCCGCAGCAAATACAGCCGCAACAACAACAACCACAGCAACAACAGCAAGGTTCCGCGATCTCTAACCATTTGAGCGTTGAATCAAGCAAAAGGAGCACATCTGCAACTCTGGACCGAATGGGTTCAGGGACTGTACTTGACATAACACCCTCTCACGCCTCGCAAATTTCTCAAGAACTCTTCGATCATGCCAACTTGACAAAAGACATTGTACTTACAAGGATAACCCAAACGAGTGTTCCAGTCGGTCTGGGTGGTGGAGTTACAGTCTTAAGCTCCAAATACGACAACAAAGAAGCAATCATTTTGCAGAATTCTGGAAGCTCATGGTGCAAAATCTGGGTCTTTGATCATAACAAAACTTTTACAGAAAACGCTAGGTTTAAATCATTCAGTAACACGCCGGTGGCACTGACTCAAACGATCGATACTAAATGGGATCAGATATGTTCTTTTTGCCCCTATGATAGTACGCTTCTCGAAGGGTTTTTAGTACTTCTCAACGGCACAACACATGAAGTCTCCCTTTTCAACCCATTCTTGAACATCGCGTCCATTCAATTCCTTCTGGGGCCGTCGAAATTTGGTAAAATCCAACTTCACTACGCCCGCGATAATTCTGTGTTCACGAACAAAACTTATCCTTTGCTTCAGTTTAGGTTTGAGCCTGTTTCTACTGCTGTATGTCACTATTTTGAGGCCCTAAAATATCTTTGCGATGGTTACACATATGCCTATCTGCTTCTTCTGTGGCAAGCAGCTCGAAATAGCTTCCATGGCGCTCAACGCGAAGACTTGGATTTTGAGGCACTGAAATCAGTTTTGCTGAGCTTCATGAAGGTTAAGAGTTGTTCTAGAAGTTACGAATCTACATTAAACTCTATCCAAGACTCTCCAGTGTTCAATTCGACATACGATCCCAGCAGGTTTTTGCCAAGAATTGTGATGGGTTTACATTTGCTAAGAGAAGAGTATAAACTGAATTTGTTACAGACCCAAAATGTAAAGCAACTCGGTAAGCTTTTACGTCTGCTCGTCGAATTAATGCACTGGCCCGAAGTGTGGCACGAGTTTTACGGATCGCTTGACCCCAAGGATGACAAGCTTTTGACAGTATCGGCAAGCCAAAAATTTGCACACCCATTGGATGAGCCGCCGTCCATACTAAAATCTCTCTACAGTGCTGCTGACGGCAATAGTATTTCCGTTGTACCATTCATAACTTTCACGCGTTTGCTGGATGATGGGTCCTTGGTGGACCACATTGTAACTCCTCGTACACACAAGATTTTGCAGTTGTTCGAAAGTTTCAATAGCGGGACATATGCTGGGTTAGATATCCTAGACGTCATGAGTTCTTTGGGAATCAACAAAAATGAATTAGAAACGTATCCGTTGGGAATCTTCGCACCACTCAAACGCGCTTTGAGATCTATGAAAAACAACATAAGTGATGTCAGCGCTTCGATTGATTTCACATTGGTAAACCGCCTCGATTTGCAACAAAATGGTTCATTGTTGGGAGTTAAAACAGCTGGAGGTTCTCAAACAAGGGAGCAACCTAGCTCGCTATCAGCTGGTAAAAATTTCGAGCATACTTATGGTCGTAGCAAATCGATCAAAATCATGGTAAAAGATATTCTGAACTCAACCCACCAGCATTTCGATGAAAAATTGTCAACACTAGATAATGCCGAAGAAATGGGGGACGGCCGAAGTTTGAAGCAAAACGCTTCTTCGATTTTTTCGGAGGATAGGAGATTTTTCGATGTTGTGGAGCTTTTATTGCACAGTATTCCGCACAAAGTTCAAATGCATGTTGTGGAAAGTAGTTACACGCGCAACCTAAAGAAGAAAAGAGTCTATTCGCAAATAACTGCCTTGCGAACCTTTGCATCGGCCTTTGGTTGGGGAGCGGTTGCATTTTCAACCGAAAGGCCCTTGACCACTCAAAAGTGGCCGCGGGCAAAGCTTAATCTTCATTGCACTTTTCCTGATAAAACCACGGTCACTGTGGATTCTAAAACGTGTGATCCAGTTCTTTATGCTTGGGGAGAGTTTCATGCTGGTGTGAGCTCAGGCCTTAGGATCTCTCCCAAGTCGGTCGGAATCACCGGAAGTTGGATAACGTTTGCCAAACCCATGGAGCTCGATGCTCAACATGGTGGATTTTTGCTCGGTTTGGGCTTGAATGGCCATCTGAAAAGTCTAGAAGAGTGGCATGTTTACAATTATCTCAGTCCAAAGCAAACTCATACCAGCATAGGCCTCCTGCTTGGCATGAGCGCTAGTTTGAGAGGAACAATGGATCTCAAGTTGACTAAGGTACTTAGTGTGCATATTGTTGCTCTGCTTCCGCAAGGTTCAAGTGATCTCAACGTGAATTATAGAGTTCAGACGGCTGGTTTGGTTGGCGTCGGTTTACTCTACCAATCTTCTCAGCATAGGAGAATGAGTGAAATGCTCTTTTCACAACTCACATCATTTGTGAGTATCAATGAAGAGGCAGTCCCAAATGAAGGGTATAGACTTGCGGCCGGAATCTCTCTCGGTCTTGTAAATCTTGGTGCCGGCGCCAAAAGCCCTAAATCTTTAGTGACTAGACTTTGGCACGGCGAGGAAAGTCACACCGACGAAGACAATGAAGAAGACGTCGACTTCAATCCTAATGAGGGTTTATTAGACCCAAAGATTGTATCTGGATTGCTAAGCATCGTCAGCGGAGCTCATGATACTGAGGAAAGCTGGATGCCTGCAAATTCCCAAATGGGAAGCATTTTAGCCCTTATGCTAATCTTCCTAAAAACTAATGACCAGACTGTTGCTGGGCGTTTAGCACCTCGCTTGGATGATATAAATTCTAAGAGCCGACCTTACATGCGTCCAGAAATTTTCATGTATCGAGAATGGGCCTGCCATATGATCTTATGGGATCGGATTGATGGGAGTTTTAGCTGGCTTTTCGAAGGTCTGGATCTTGATGTCTCATTGTCGTTAGATACCGATTCTTTGCCTCAACTTTACTGCATAGCTGGGAGGGTTCTGGCCATTGGTCTGAAATTCGCGTCTATGGGAGACTTAGCAGTCCGTGATCATCTCCTATTTTTGATCGATAAGTTGCTGCCACTGTATCAGTGCTCCCTTGACGCCCGATTAGACTTTCAATTGAGTATAAAAGCTCTTAATGTTTTGTCCGGCGTGCTGTTGATGGCTGTCAGTATGGTTATGAGCGGCACAGGTGACCTTTCAGTGTTGAGAAGGGTAAAGTACTTGCACGAGACCATTAGCGGTAAACATTCGGATTTGTTCCAGACCACCTTTCGAGTGCCTCCGTCCAAACCTTCCACGGGGGACGATGCAATGTCTGTTGATTCCACACGGGAGCGCAGTCGGAGTCGAGAAGAAGACCTTGGAAACTTGACTGTTGAGAATGACGATTTAGAGGAAGCTGGGGCTGATCAGAGCAACTCCGAAACAATGGAGGACACGGAGGCAGGGACAACTGATGAAAGCAAACAACATTGGAAAGACGAGGAAAATCATTTCGGAAAGTATATGGTGACAAGCTTGAGTCTTGGCTTCCTTTTCCTCGGCTCAGGGCAATATGCATTCAAGACTTCTAGCTTGGAAAGTTTGGCATATCTCATAATATCTATTCTACCGACTTACATGGATCCATACTATTTGCAGGAGACAAGGCATTTCTGGAGTATGGCGGTCGAATACAGAAGTCTAATAATCAAAAACTCAAAAACTGGAGAAAACCTCAACAAGGTGCCCATTGAGGTGAATCTCAAAGTGCCGAAAAATACCACAGGCCCGCAGACAATCCACCTGCTTTCACCGTGTCTTTTACCTGACCTAAGAAAAATTGCATCCATCAAAATCTCCTCACCAGATTATTATCCCGTTTCCGTGCATTTCAAAAAAGATGAGGACTGCACCAATTTTTACCACAATGGATGTGTCCTTTTCGTCCCTCCTCAAAATGATTCTGACGACGAACGAGAACTTGGCGACTATTCTAAAAGTAGAGATGTTGAAGTGAAGAACTTGATTAAAAAAAGAGCCTCTAAGCTTTTGGGGGATCCTTCCCTGAAAAATACAAACCAGAATGTACCTCAGCTCTTCAAGAATTTGGGTCTTACAAATGAAGTAGGATTGGAATTTGGAGTCGAAATTTCCAAAGCTAGCAAATCTACTGACCCTTACAAAGACGAAAATCTGTTGATGGCATGCCACGATAGAGGGAGGAATTACCAGCTAGAATTGTGGAGGCGGCATTATGGAATGTAGCCCGTGTGCAAGTTTTCTTATTTTATATCCTAAGCAAGCTTGACTATTTTCTTCTATAGGATTCTTTCTGAGTTGAAGATCCCGTCTATTTGGTCTCACCAAGAGATTGACCCATTTTAACCGTTTGCCCGACATCGATGTTAAACTCAAAGTCGTTGGGTGCTTCAAAACATAGTACGACGGTACTACCCAACATGAAACCGCCCATCTCTTCACCTTTGACTAAGGGAACACCGCCCAAGATAGAACTGGTGTTTTCATACGTAGCCTCGAAGCATGTGTGGGGTTTTATTTTCTCCTTGCGCCTACTATTGGTGACCAGCTCCTTATCAAAGTTCAACTTGATAGATCCAACATTTGTTGCACCCACTGGAGTCATGCTAAAGAATCCATGTTTCCAGTGACCCAATAGCGCTACACGTTCGTTCAACACGAATAAGTTTGGAAAGTTGCGTTGAAAGTAGGGAGCAACAGAGAATAGTTCTCCCGGGAAATGACGACGCAATTTGCAAACCCAATTGACTGGGGAATGGTAATGATGGTAATCGCCTGGGGCCAAATATATGACGGCAAAGCACAGTTTGGTATTTTTGGGTTGCGTGCTTTTTATTTTGTCCATGTAATGTGTAGAAAGCTGGCTCAGAAGCTTCATGGTCTTGGGCCTTGAAGGAGCGGCTTCCGGTAAAGACGAGTCACCTTCGTTTTTGTACTCTATCTTTTGTAAATGTGGATTGTTCTCGCCTGGCGTTTCGCCAATCATGTCGTTGAGGGTGTAGGGAATATTATTTATACGCGCGAATTCGATGTGGTCGTCATCCGAATTGTTTTCGGAGCTGTTGTGAAGACTATCCATTGATTTACTACGACTCATTTGCGGATGTGCGTGTGTGCCGAGAAACTCACGGACAGAATATGTCATGCCTTTCACTTGTTGGATATCTCCGGTCTGAGCGTCAATGATTCCCAGCTGCAAAACTCGTCCGTCACTGGGACAGACAACGACGTCATCGCCAGGAGCAATTGGGCGTGTTTCGGGTCTTATTTCTCGATAAAAGAACTCTGAGAGATTCTGATAATGCTCCAAGACCGGATCCTCCATTTCGTCCAAGTTCGCACCGAAAACAGATGCGTACAGTTTGAAACTCAAAGGCCGTAGCCATACAGGCAATGTGAAAGAGTTGACCTGGCCCCAAAGCCGGGACATGGCATTCAACGGAAGCGTCGAGTACCAGAAAAAAAGCCAGTTGTTGTTGAAGATCTTGATGCGTGGACGGGACCGATTTTCGTATTTTTCATCGTCGTACTCGTCTGTGCCCTCTTGTACGACCTTGTCCTCGCCGTCCCAGCCTTCTGCGTAGTTGAACAAAATGCTTCCCAACACCAATGTCACTCCGGTCATAACCACTAATTTCACCACAACCTGTTTATTGTATCCTGAAAATTGCATCAAAGACGTTCTAGAGCTGTAAAACCGATGATTCCACAAGTTCGCAGTACGTTTTTTTATTCTCATTCTAGCCACTCCACCAAACCGATGCATGTTGAGCCGACCTTTCATCATGCCAACACCGCCGTTTTTCAAAACTCCCAACCGTAACATCCCGGTATCGAATTAATTCCAAATTATTCTAGAGCTAAATTCTAGTATTCTTGCAGTTGATGAACTTTTCCCAGCACCGAAACGATCAGGTTCTACCCTTAAAGGATGAGTTGTTCAAACTTGTTCTGTTTGTCGTGTTAAAAAGTACATCATCGGACACTGGAATTTTTCACTATTTAATATGATCAACAAACCTAGCTACATGTGAAAGTAAGTGACGTCGCGAAAAGTTGTAACCTGAGATGACAGATAGAATGGGGTTAACCTGAGATGAAGTACTTAAATAAATTATTGTTGTTTAAAAGGGCTATCTTTTGGTGTAATTTGGATGCCAGAACGTGAGTGAGCGTCTCGTTCTTGCTGGTAAAGTCATTGCGAGCTTTTTTTTTGGAACGACAGGATAATCGCGCGAGAAATGAAGGGTAGCTAGCTCGGAAAAACGATAGTTGGCATCGAGAAGCGCTGGAAATATAGTGCAGGATTGACTGATCTGATGCAAAGTTTGATATTTCGGAGATCGTGGTCACTTTGTACTATTCTGTCATATTTTGCAAAAGTTTGGTAAAGAGTCGTAATAGAGATACCGGAATGAGATTAATAGACCGCCAGCTATGCAATAGTGGGCTAGACCCTTTGAAAGATAGACTGGGGAGCTTCTGGCCCGCTAGAAACTGGTGACTTTTTGATTTTCGCGCGACGGGCTGGGAAAAATGTGATCTCACATTCTTCAAGCCGTGTCCATGAAGCAGAGTGAATTTTGACGCACGGCAGATTTCAATGTACTTTCGCAAATGGTTTGGTTGTGGCCAGTGACTATTGAATGGAAGAAGTGGGGATGCTCCAGATCGGCCTTACCTTGTCCTGCACGGCTTAATCACTTTGTCCGAAACTGACGCTAGTTGTTATTTATAATTTACGATGCGATGAGCTCGAGCATTTCAAACTATCCATCCTTCGCTCATGGCAACTTGTACCCTCAAATGCTGATCTACGTCAGCGAGAATGTTGGCAGTGGAGCAGAACTACTAGTGCAGACGCTGGAAACAATATATCACTTCGAAAGGATACCCACAGATATCACAATTAATGATGATCATACCGCTTACATTGTAGATTATGCGACCGCCAATTACACGAAGAATCTGGTGTTCCAAGGTATTTTAGGTCTCGAACAGCTTCAAATGCTGGAGAAACGACCCTTTTTCATGCATATGACCATAGAGGCGGCTTTACGAGTTAGATTACAGGTATGGTGCGATAACTACAATGACGGTCAAAAAGATACCGAAAAGTTTCTACAACACACAGAAGGAATCCTTGAGCGGTATCCAGATTTACCAATGGTATTTGGCCGAGCAGATGTGAAAATATACGTAAGAATTCAGGAGAAACTAAAACTTGATGTTTTAGCGAAAGAGCTGGACCGACCTTTGAAAAGTGCTTGTCAAGGACGCGATGTAACGAGTCCTTTTGCACACACGACACCCTTCAGGCCGGATTGGGATACGTACTTTATGAAGTTAGCAACTCTAGCAGCATCGCGCTCGAATTGCATGAAAAGACGGGTTGGATGTGTTATCGTCCGTGATTACAGAGTGATAGCGACAGGTTACAACGGTACACCGCGCCATCTGAAGAATTGTCATGATGGAGGTTGTGCTCGCTGTAATAGTGGCGAACATTCTCAGCTCAGTAGTTGTTTGTGTCTTCACGCCGAAGAGAACGCTTTGCTAGAAGCTGGTCGCGATCGCGTAGGCTTAAATGCAATTTTGTATTGTGATACATGTCCTTGCTTGACATGTTCTGTTAAAATCGTACAAACCGGCATTCGCGAAGTTGTTTATTCTCAGAGTTACCGAATGGATGAAGCTAGTTTCAAGATTCTGCAAGAGGGAGGGGTGTTGGTACGGCAATTCAGTTTCAAGGAAGTACCACACTATAGTGTGTTGTGAATAGGTTCGGACAGGTCTCAATTAAGACCTTTTACAGCTTTTACTATACTATCGAGGATAGCACGTAGTAAACATGAAAACATTCGTGAACTTACCTCTCGCCAGTAGTCTGATCGAGAACGAGAATAACTCGACCTTCTCTGACCACTTCAATCATGACAGTTTGAAAGATCTGAGCAGCCGACATTCAAAGAGACAAATAGAAACATTCGAACCTGTTTGAAGCTTAAAACTTTAAAAACCATAATTTATCTGCATAACCTAAGCTCGACTCTCCGAAACACCTTTTTTTTTTTAACATCAAACTTCTAACCTCCTTTCTAATGAATGTAACACCTTTTGGTGATCTTTAGAGTAACTTATCCAACCGTTTAACTTTTGCAAAAGCACTTGCTTGCTTAAAAGTGCAAAGTTCGTGAGTTTTTGCATATTTCAACCAGTTGGATTACTCGGCAGACCCGCTTCGACTTTCACAGACGGATCCACATTTTCCACTAGGTTCTGCTTCTGAGAAGATTTTTGGACATCTTCTAGACTCAGTAACGTGTTGCCATTAATAATTAAAGGCAGGTTGTTGATGGTCCCAGTAGCCTGATCTGGTAAGGGACCCTTTGTGCCACTACTTTCGGGATCTGTCTGGTCTAGTACTTGATTCTGTTGGTACCCATCTGCCTCAGAGCCAGCAGCCATTGAAGAGCGTCGCGTATATTCGTACTCAGAGTTGTCTCCCTCTGGGTTCTCGAGTCTCCTCCTTTCCTCTTCTTCGCGCACTGGATTACCACCTCCGCGTTGAACGTAGTGAGTCTGTAATAAGACTTGCTCTATGTGACTGCAAAGCGTCAGCGATGATTTCATATCATCTTGCAAAAGAGCTTGTTTGAGCATTCCCACTAAAGATGAGTTGATATTTGTCTTGGATATTCCACATAATTTGTCCATGCACTGGCCCAAGTCATCGTACTCTGTCTCGTAGAATTTCAGATCGGCTTCAACTTTTTTAATGTACTGCTTCTTACGCTTCCGAAATTTTGATGCTGCGACTCTGTTTCTTTCCAAAAACTCTCTGCGTTTGCGATCTTGCTCATTCTTTGGTCTAGAGAAAGAAGTGTCTATTACAGCTTTGGGCAGATTAGCCTTGCTTTTTCCCTTGTACCTTTTAGTGGGGGGCTCATTGCTGTAAGGAGAATCCTTTGAACTTAAAACTTTGGACTCACCTGGAACCGCTGTATGTCCAGTAGAAGGAACTCTTGTCATATCTGAGCTTGATTGAGAGTCCGCAGATCCACGACCAGATTTAACAGATGCCATCGCCTTTTTGTTATTGGCTGTAGGTATTACGCCAAGGGAATTCGAAGATGTTGATGAGTTCGAGTGTACAGCGGTAGAATTGCCAGACAGCTGAGCAGAAAGCGGCCCCCACTGAGCAGATTGCATACCTAATTTTGGCGAGAATCGTTGCGTTTGAGACTGAGGCTGCTGTTGCTGTGGAATCTGATGCTGCAAGGGTAGACCTAAAAGCGAAGAGAGACCTGGAGTGATCTGTTCAGCTGGTAGAGATAACGGTGGCATGATGTTGGCTGGAGATTGAAGGGACGGTGATGGGCGAGGCGGCGGTTTCCCTTGGTGCTGTACATGATTATTGGGATGACCTTGCAGCTGTGAGTGTGAAGGATCTGTTGCCGGAACATTTCCTGGAGTCAAGCATGGGCGCATGCCAGTGGAGTTGGGTGTAAATCCCGTCTTCGAAAGATTCAGAAAGAAACTGGGCGTTGTAGTGCCTGGAGGCATGACGTTCTGTGAGAGCGGGGTGAAATGTGAATTTTGAGCTGGCGGTAACTGGTAATGCGGATGGGGATGGTTGGAATGTACCGTAGAGGAGCCTGGCGATCTTGTGTGCTGCTGGACAATCATCGACGACGAAGAGCGCGCAGGATCGGTTAACAACAGCGGCGGAAGCCTTGTGGAGTATTCATCTGGTTTGCCATGCTCCATGTGCGGCTCCAGTTTGTATGATGTGGGGTTGTTGGAATTTGCAGCAGCCGAGTGGTCAAAAGAATGCCCGTGAGAAGTAACATTGGAATGTGCTGGCATACCTGACGGTTGCGCTGGCTGGGGATACTCCAAAGTGGTTTTGTGAGCCGGAAAAGCGTTCAGCACACCTGTATTCATTGATCCGGCCAGATGTTGCCCGTCAGTTTGATGAGCACTAGCGTGTTCTGCGTCGGGAGCTTTTAATGTATGGGCCTTTTTCGTGGTCGCAAAGCTCTGTTCAAACGGGTTTGGCTCGAGATCAAACGACGAAACAACATTTGCTGAATCGCCAACGTTGTTTGAGGCATCAGAGTGTCCTCGAGATTGGCCAGTCATTGATATTTTCTATCGGACAGAAACTGGACGAGCCAAAAGCAAAAAAAAAACTCCGCTCGAATAGACGACCTACTAGTATGAAACTGCAGCCGAACTCAACACAGTTCTCGCACACGATCCCGTTTCCAAGATCGGCGGCTAGCGGTTTCTTGCTTCACACGCTTTCACTCTTGTCTGCGTCTATCCTGTTCAAATGTACCAGTATCGTAAAATGGTCGAAACTTGACCAAAAAAGCCGGGGGAAAAGAGATTTAAAGAAACTTGATATGTTTCTAAAGGATAATAAGTTGAAACCTAGTCAGAGATCTATACACTCGTCGGTACAACACTATTCTTTTGGTCTATTTTTGAAAGCGTTCAGATATTACTTATAATCTACCCGTTCTTTACTTTTTCACTAATATAATATGGATCGCCAAGGTCAGATCTGCTTTCTCGACAAACAACAAAAATCACACGATTTTTCAGAGACTAGGAGAGTTTGAATAGGGTGTTTGAATAATGCATCGTAAGCAGTGAAATTTGGGGGTATTTGTGCTTTTTCCGCGAATCGATTTGATCCAGTTCTCGCCCATTAATAATTGATATTTGGTTTTAGGTATTTCGTGGACTTTGTTGGGATTTTATGGTTGATGAAGGAGGAGACATATCTCAGGGTTT